TGTCACTGTTTTCCCCTCACTTTGTACTCACTTCCTGAGGTTTATAAATCTGACCTCCATACTAGCCACTCTAATGAAACTTCTTTTACTGAAGTTTTATGGTTTCCCTGGGGCCCCATTCATGGCCCTTTCTTCATGCCATTCATTTCTGCTACGTCGTTTTATTGATTTCTGACTTCAAAGGTCAAAGACACACTGATTCCCAAAATCTGTATTGATATGATCAGTTTTCTGTTGAGTTCAAAATTTAAATTATCAACTATCTTTGACATCAACTATCTCCATCTCAGATTTAACACGTTGATAATAAGACATTTTTTTTTTTTTTTAATAAATTGGAAGGGAGGCAGGGGGAGAGAGAGAAACATCGATGTGAGAGAGACACATCAGTTGGTAGCTTTCCACATGACCCCGACCAGGGCTGGGACTTGAACTTGCAACCCAGGTATGTGCCCTTGACCTGAAATTGAACCCATGACCCTTCAATATGGTCTGATGCTCTAACTGCTGAGCAAAACCTGCCTGGGCAGAAATAAGACATTTTAAAAAGAAGTATCTTTGGCTGGCTGGTGTGGCTCAGTGGTTGAGCACTGACTCATGCACCAAGAGGTCACCAGTTAGATTCCCGGTCAGGGCACATGCCCAGGTTGTGGGCCTGATCCCCAGTGGGGGGCATGCAGGAGGCAGCCAACTGATGTTCTCTCTCATCGATGTTTCTATCTCTCTCCCTTCCTCTGTCTCTAAAATCAATATAGAAAAATTAAAAAAAAAAAAAGTATCCTTTCTTTCCTTTCCATGTTAAACCTAGTTCTTCTATATCCCTAAAATGTTCATGACATTTGTAATAATTTAAATATATGTTCACAAATTTTTTTATACTCCTCTCTTGGAGAAGTGGAACTAAGTTATTCCTCACAAGGAGAATGTGTCAGAAGATAGTGCTTTACTTCCAAGGCTTGGATATGATACTGTGGCTTCCTACTTGCTCACTCTGGGGTAAGGCAGCTGCTGGGTCAGGACACTCAAGCAGACCTATGGAGACGTCCATGTAGTGAGCAGGAGGCTTCCTGTCAACAATCAGTGAGAGACTGACACCTCCCATCACCACCAAGAGTGAGTCTTCTTGGAAGCAGGTGCTCCAACCCCAGTCAACCCTTCAAATGACTGTATCCTCAGCCAACAGCTTGACTGCAACTTTATTAAACACTGTGAACCACAGGCACCCAGCTAAGCTGCATCCAGACTCCTGACACACATAAACTCTAAGATAATAAATGTTCTTTGTTTTAACTAGCTAAGTTTTGGGGTAATTCATTATGTATCAACACAAAACAAATATAGTGTTCAAACTCCGAATCCAAGGAACAGAAATGAAGAAAATGAACATTTCAATTGAATTTCTTCCCTCTGCACTCCTTCTCAATGCACAAAGCTTTCTCAACGTATAAAAATACTGTTGTAATTAGATAACTATTAACAGAAAAGAAGTAAAGGGAAGGCCAGACATTACAGGTATATTGCCTGCGAAACACCGAGGGAAGGGGACTGGACAAAGGGAAGACAGACGCATGCCCAGTCCAGGCGCTTGCTGTCAGTCACGCCTGGGAACAGAGGTCGCTGGCCAGCATGGGATGGCCACTGCAAACCCTTGAAGATTCGGGATACCTAACCCCCAGACGAAGGAGTTCTCTCTCTCGTGCTCTCGGTTCTCCTGGGACTCGTGTGGCTCTGAGCTTGTGAGGCTCCCATGCCCCTGCTTCCCTGCATTTGCCACACGGCCCACGGCCTGCAGACGCCACACACAGGGACTAAGGACCGCAGCCAGCCTGACGCTGCACTGGACCCGGCTCCAACATGGAGGGAAACTCTGGACACTGGTGCTGCTTCTAGCTTCACTGGAGCCCCAGCTACACTCCGTACGGAAATGGGACTTCAGAAACAGATTTAATTTCACACAGATAAAAATCACTCCTTCTCCCATACAAGTCTTAGAAAATTCCTTTTCTAAGTATATCGTAAGAACTCTACCCCCGGAGCACTCCGAGGGGAAGAGAACCCCCATTTCGTCTGGTATCAAAACCATCATTTACCCAGCACTCCAATGAGCAACAGGCCATCCTTGACTCTCCCTACCAACCGTGTCACTGAATTGTCTTTTTTTTAATCATTATTTAAGCCCATCTCTATACTTACAGCTTTTAGAGCCTTTACCATTTTTCCATTACTACATACAACACACAGCTTTCCAACTTTTCTCCCCTCTCGTCTTTCCCAGTGCCACTCCATTCTGTAGACTGAGGGCGACAAGGGCTCTGCCAAGCACATGTCTCATTGTGCTTTTTAAATATATTTTAAATGAACTTTTAGGGAAAGGAGGGAGAATGAGAAAGATCGGCCAGCTGCTTGCTTCCTGCACGCAAGCAGGGAGTGCACCACCGGGGCCCGTGCCCTGGCCAGGAATGGAATCTGCAACCCTTCCCAACCGAGCCATACTGGCCAGGACATGTTATTTACTTCTATTAAAATTCACTACCTGTTCTCACATTGCGTAGGACAAAATTCAAGTGTCATAGGATGGCATGTTTCTCTGTCCTGTATCTTTTTCTCTCATCTCTCGTGTCCACAGCCTATAATCTGGCCATCTTTCCCTTTGCATATGGTGCTTGCTTCTGTGTGGAAGGTCCTTCATTCTAACCTTATAACTCCTACTCATTTTTAAAAAGTGTGTGTTTGTTTTTGGAGAGAAAAACATCCATTTGTTATTCCACTTATTCATGCACTCATTGGCTGATTCTTGTATGTGCCCTGACCAGGGATCAAACCCACAACCTTGGCGTATCAGGACGGCGTTCGAACCAACTGAGCTACCCAGCCAGAGCCTAACTCCTCCTCATTTTTAAGAGACTCAACTTAACCTTTATCTCAGAAAATCTGCCCTAATTGTCAGGTCTAGGTTAGAGGACTCACATCATTTTACCAGAGGACTTATTTGCATAGATCAGTATTGCGTCCTTCACTAGCATGTGAGCTTCTGGGAAAAAACTCTAATCTTGACATCTATACATTCATTTATTCATATATCCAACTCATATTTACTAAGTAACTATATGACAGACACTTATTAGGTGTTGTTACACAATGGTGAACAAAATGAATACGCCCCTGCCCTTGCAGAGTATGTAGTCTGTGCAAGAAGTGAGTCACAGAAACAAATAAATATTGTGATGTTAAAAAAAACATTATGAGAGAGTGGGGACCTACTTTAGATTGTGTGGCACACAGATACACTCAAACTTTTGCTGAATTAAATATTTTCCAAAAGGTCTGTAAAAATTATACTTTCACCTCGGAAGTATAAGTGGGCAAGGTCCATCACATCCTTGATAACACGGAGTCTGTTTTGTTTTTTTTAAATCCTCACCTGAGGATATTTTTCTATTTATTTTCAGACAGAGTGGGAGGGGGAGAGAGAGAGAAACCTGGATGTGATAGAGACACATCGATCGGTTGCCTCCTGCACAATCCTGACCAGGGCTGGGGACAGAACTGCATCCAAGGTACATGCCCTTAACCAGAATCAAACCCATGACTCTGGTCTGTGGGCCAATGCTCTAACGGCTGAGCCTGATAAGCCAGGGCTGTTTGTTCTTTTTTTTTAAAAAAAAAAATCTTGCCTGCCTGGTGTGGCTTAGTGGATTGAGTGTCGCCCCATGAACTGAGAGGTCCCAATTCAATTCCTGGTTAGGGTACATAGCCCAGTTTCAGGTTCGATCCCCAATATGGGGCGTGCAGGAGGCAGCCAATCGATGTTTCTCTCTCACATCAATGTGTTTATCTCTCCCTTCCTCTCTCTCTCTAAAAAACAAAAAAAAAATTTTAAGGAAAGTCGAAGAAAAATCTTTGTTCATATTGTCAGCGTCACTTTGTTGTACATTTTCAGCACCAAAAATCAAGAAAAAGGACACGGCACGATCAATCATGTTTTATAAAAGGCTTAATTAAGCACAGGTGGAAAACTAAGGCTAGTTTTATATATATTATCAGAGTTACAGAGTTACTCAAATGTATGGCTAAGATAATTTCAAAATAATCACTTGCAAGATTACACACTTTACTAAGTAAAAAGTAATATTAAACAAAAGCCAAGACTTTCCAGTATTCAGAAGTCTGAAGAAATCACTAACTTTTTTAAAAGAGCAAATTCCAAGGGAATCCCTGACTCCCTAGGTTCGTCGCCAAATGATTCACAACTAAGGTATTTCTGGGACGTGGGAGTCCATGACAAAGTAAAAAAAAAAAAAAAAAAAATCAAGTCCATTAAAAAAGTGGCTCAATGTTTTAAAAAGGAAATGGGAAGATGAGGAAATTATTATGTTAAAATACATAAAACAATTTTAGCAATAATTACTCATCAATAAACTATTTGATAGCTAATCAAAAAAATCCAAACAAAACAAAACTTGGTATTTGAAAATAAAAATACTCAACTCTTACAACAATTGAGAAGATTTCTGGGAATATAGACATTTCTAATATTAATATAAAACACATCAAAATTGTAAAAACAAAGCTAATACTGCTTTGGATTACAAAACTTATTTTATAAATGATGCATATATTTCTGAAAACGTTAGTGGATATTAAAGAACAAGAATACAAAAATTAAATAAGTCCGTCCCTTCTTAAGTCCAAATTAGCTACATTAACACCAGCTGGTCATGCCTTTGCCCAAATTCACTGATGTGGTCACAAAGAATTTAAATTAATAAGTAGTGATAAGGAAAAAAAACAGCTTATGCTTTACCTCACATTAGCCTTATCAGTTGAAATAATGAGATTTTCTGGAAAACATGCTAATTTCTTCACTTTTAGTAGTATACTTCAATACTCAGCTGGGACTTCTCCAAGAGGTAGAGGCACTGGTCATCAAACATGTAACACAATAAAAGCTGCTGCTGTTGTTTAGCAAACTGATAGTTGCCCAACAAAAAACTGTTAACTTTTCAGAGGCAGGAAGCTTTTTATTTTAAATTTTAGCTTCTGCAATGGAATTTTGCCAAGTTTTGAAAGTATTAACTTTATTAACCTGCAACAATCATCATTTAAAAATAGCATAGAAAAAACGTCACAGTGGGTCAGAAACAAGGTTTACACGTTGCTCAAAATGATCTCTTACAGTGGCAAGACTTGACTTCTGAGCCACTTTCCACAGACTGGTGGGTGATACAGTTCAAATTATGAATATAACACATGATGATAAATATTGCTCTTGAAAAAAAGCAAATTGTTTTCCTATTTACAATTTTTGGAAAAGTTCTACTATAAAAATAATTTTCTTTTCTATAATTTCCCTGCCATGACAATGTTAAAGCATATCCAGATTCTCCTCAAACATCTAGAGTTAAGTGTAGCATTCCGTTGTAGTTAAAATATTCCTTCACAGAGCCAACATGTTTTTCAAGGCACTCTAAGAACTCTCAAGGACAAAAAAGAAAAATGTTCATCTTGTCTACTGATCTTCTGGGCATATTTCCCCGCAAACCTTTCTAAATTGAACATTCTTAAAGCCGTTTCTTCATTTTCCACGGTAGAGTTTAAGTTATTTTTCTTTTATTTGGAGCCACTCCTTCATTTTCAACTTGCTGAGCAGGCAGGCTTTTGGTTTCCATGGAAACTGGATTCCTGCGGCTGTGTGTAGGCATTCTTGTTCCACTAATCTAGCAGATGAAGCAAAGAACAGAAAATAGTTTAACATGTTTACAACATATTTATATACAGTCAACTCTGTATTATTACCACATGTATTACTTTCTTTGTGAATAGTCCTTTATATATTTTTTAATCCCTAGCCACCTGGCTACTTCTAAACAACCGTTAATCTGACAAAGTTTTAAAGTACTACATTTTCAAGTAACAGCTAAGAAAGGGGATAGATCAGGGTAGATGAAGAGAAGCGCAGGGGAAACCACTCTGTGTTAAATTTGGAAGAGGGTGAAATGTTAAATTAGAAAATGAGGGAATTACAGGCCTTTTTAGCAGTGTGTCTGCAACAGCAAAGCTGAAGGGCAGGAGAGAGGAAGAAATAAAAAATATGAAGGGAGGGAAAGGAAACACAAGAAAGTCAGAGCTGGTAAAGCAGGAGGAGAAATTACAAAACAGAGAAAGACACAGAGTAAGAAAAACAGAAGAGTCCAAAGAGAAGAAGGGAAAAAAAGAATAAATATAAAAAAGGGGAAAGCCCTGGCCAGTTGGACTCAGTGGTTAGAGTGTCTGCCTGTGGATCTGAGTCGTGGGTTCAATTCTGGTCAAGGGCATGTCGTACCTCGGATACAGTTTGGTCCCGGGCCCTGGTCGGGGTCGTGCAGGAGGCAACCAATCAATGTGTCTCTTTCACGTCAATATTTCTCTCTTTCTCTCTCTCTCCCTCCCTCCCACTCTGTCTGAAAATAAATGGAAAAATATCCTTGGGTGAGGATTGAAAAAAAAAGGGAAAAGAGAAACAAGCCCAAGTTAGAAAGAAAAAATTGAAGGGCCGAGAGAGAAGATTCTTGCAATACAGACAGACAGACAAGGGGGGAGAAGAATTTGGAAGGAGACTAAAGAACACGGAAAAAGAGAAAGAAGGGAAGTAGGGAAGAAACTTTGTGGGTGCTGGTTCTACCTTAATGTCTACTTCTTCAGTGCAAGCTGCTACTCATCCTCACTTTCTAGCTCACACTGTCTAGGGAGGAGAGAAGGTATATTCCTTTAAAAATTTGTTTTAATCGACTTTTATAGAGAGAGGAAGGGAGAAGGAGAGAGAGAGAAACATTGATGAGAGAGAAACATCGATTGGCTGCCTCCTGCACACTCCCTACTAGGGATTGAGCCCGAAACCTGGGCATGTGCCCTGACTGAAAATCAAATCTGTGACCTCTTGGTGCATGATGGGTGGACACTTAACTACTGAGCCACACTGGCCGGGCAGAAGGTATAATCGTACACAATCCCTCCTTGCTAATTACAGTCATGCTAAAGATGAGATCTGGAAATGCTGTAATCTCCCTGGCCACTGAGAGAGCATTACATTTTGAATTGTGTTAATGGAGAAAGCCAGGCCTCAGAGAAGTACCAAATCTGTATAGCCTGAAACCATTTCCCTAGAACCTGTCCATATCTGCCTTTATTTTCCCTAGCCACCTTGTACCCTTCACATCTTATCCAGTTCTAGACCCTGGATGGGTGATACTGTAACTCCAAGTACTCCCTCTCCTATTCCTAACACAACAGACATATTTTACTAGCACTGCTCCAAAGAGCTACTGGCTCACTAAGAATGAATCAGATCCCAGCCTCTCTCACCTGATAGCTAGTCCCTTCAGGGGCATTTTTTGTTTACAATTAGATGACTGGAAAGGACAAATTTCAAGTTGGGATGTGAGTCTGCCAGTATTTCTGTTTGGATCTGATGAACTTTTGTAATGATTAGAGAAGTGCTACAGGCCCTGGCCGGGTTTGCTCAGTAGTTAGAGCGTTGGCCCATGGACCGGAGTCCTGAGTTTGGTTCCTGCTAAGGGCATGTTCGTTGGTTGTAGTTTGTCCCTGGCCCTGCGTGGGGTTGTGTGGGTGGCAACCAGTTGATGTGTCTCTTTCACATCAACGTTTCTCTCCTTCTCTTCCCCTCTCTCCCTCCGGTTCTATCTGAAGATAAATGCAAAAAATGTCCTCAGGTGAAGATAAAAAAAAAAAAAGTGCTATAGCTTTTAGATTATCTAGACCACTCCCCACACATCTGGTATTTATTGTAAAAGTATACTGACCACACTAATTGTATCTATTATATCACTGTGGAAAGCAAGCATTTTGAAACTTCCATTGTAAAACTGTGTGTGTGTGTGTGTGTGTGTGTAAAATAAATGTTTTTATCATAGAAATTGTTAAAGGAGAAAAGGGATAGGCTCAGAGCCACTGCAAAAGGAGTGGAAGCAGAAGTCAGGAGTAGCACAGGAAGCAAATGGGATCCTCCTAGTAAGCACTGCTCTATGCAGAGGGAGGCTCTACTCGGGCGCTCTCAGGCTTCTAGTGTCCAAGGAAGTACACACAAATGAGATCTCAATTCAAGTGGACTGGAGACTAAGGGATCACATTAGAGGCATAAACATTTGCTATTTGAGTTTTTACACTATGAAATATGTAGATGATTTCTGTTTCATATAGTGTTACTTCCCTGAGTTTCCTGAAGTTTTGGTCTTTTTCCTATGGCTACTAAGGCCAGAATCCCTATCTGTGCTTACCTAGGTTAGACTAGAAAGTGCCATTCATATGGCTTATCTAGGAGGAAGCAAGGAGGAAGGTGGGATAATTCCCACCAAATGTAGGGAGGTGTGTGAGAGATCACCAAAAGCTTTCCATGGGGTTGGAGAAAACGTCAAACCAAACATTAGTTACGTAATTTCTACTGTACCTAATGCTAGGCTGTACAGCTGGGTCCTGGGTAACCTCACTAAGTATTTGCCCCTACATTGAATGCATGAAGCATCTTAAAAAATACAAAGGATCCTGGCTGGTGTGGCTCAGTGGTTGAGCATTGACGCATGCACCAAAAGGTCGCCGGTTTGATCCCGGGTCAGGGCACATACCCAGGTTGTGGGCCCGATCCCCAGTGAGGGTCATGCAGGAGGCGGCCAATCAATGTTTCTCTCCCATCAATGTTTCTATCTTTCCCTCTCCCTTCCTCTCTCTAAAATCAATAAACATTATTTAAAAAAATAAAAATGAACATACAAATACTACTCAGTAGTATACATATAATCCAACTGTTTAACTTTGTATTGATGTGGCCAAACCCTAAACATATACAATTGTGTTAAGATATTAAAACATTCACTTTCACTAAAAAAGGAATAAGCTAATCCACAGAGAATTATGTTACAAGGTGCAGAAGCTAACAGAATTTCAAAATCAAAAGGAAATCATTATTCTAGAAAGAATATAAATCCTTCAAAAATAGTTTTCAATTACTATTTTTAAGTTAGTTAAGAAAACTGTGCCTGCCCTGGCCGGTTTGGCTCAGCGGTTAGAGCGTCGGCCTGCGGTCCAGAGAGACCCGGGTTCGGTTCCTGCTAAGGGCACGCACCTCGGTTGCAGTTTGTCCCTGGCCCTGGTTGGGTTGTGTGGGTGGCAACCACTCAATGTGTCCCTTTCACGTCAATGTTTCTCTCTCTCTCTTCTTCTCTCTCCCTCCCACTCTATCTGAACAATGGAAAAATGTCCTCGGGTAAGGATTTAAAAAGAAAATTTTTTTTTAAAAGAAAACTGTGCCTTAGGAAGTTATAAAAATCACAACTGACATTAAATGTAAACTGAAAACAGCCAACCAAAGCTTGAGATAAAATGGCTTAAAATGCTAGCAACTAACTTTCTCCATTCTTTCACTTGTAGCAACTAGTTAACAACATTTATATATCTTCTTGGACAAAGTTAACTAAGAATGTGTAAGGAGTTCTCATTTCTAAAAATATCCTCTGAAACAAAAACATTAAAAAAACTGAGAAACATATAAACAAGCCTGCTCACTAAACTATAAAAAAAACTTTCAGTATTTGCATTCCAGCTATTTCTCAAAGGACTTGAGTACAACTACTCAAAAAGAAAGAAAGAAAGGAAAAAAAAAAGGAAAATAAATACCCACAGGATACACAGGTGATATATGTTCTGGGAGATTATAGAACTCAGACAATGATTTTGACTCAAAGATTTTTGGCAGCAGGGAAGGAAAATACACTGGGTTTTGTTTCCTGAACATTCAGATTCAGATTTGTAGAGAACAAAACTTCTACAACTAAACTCAGATTGGAATTTCTTCCATGATACAAAGGATGAGTGACATGGTGAAGAGTATTTCTACTCATGGCTTTACAGAAGTTTCAGAGAAAAATCATTCAACTGGTATTTCTGGGTAGCATTCTATAAAGAAAGTAACATTAATTAAAACTCAATAAATAATTACTGAGGTATACAATAGTTAGCAAAACACAATACAGTCTTTAACATTTTATTGTACTTTTAATAAGACACTGCATTCCCTAATTACTAACACTTATTTTTATATTTTTCTATGACCTACTTATCAATTTTTAATTGTATAATTTTATTATATGTTCTATAAATTGCCTCAAATATTTAATGAAATGAAGCAGCATCATAAACAAAAAATACCAAAAACATAACTTTGCTTTTCATAGGAACACAAGGATTTATTTATTTATTTTATCCTCATCCAAGGACTGTTTTTTTGTTTGTTTTTTCATTTATCTTCAGATAGAGTGGGAGGGAGAGAGTGGGGAAGAGAGAGAGAAACATTGATGTGAGAGAGACACATCCAGTGGTTGCCACCCACATGATCCCAACAGGGGCCGGGGACAAACTGCAACTGAGGTACACGCCCTTAGTGGGAACCAAACCCAGGACTCTCTGGTCTGGCGGGCCTTTGCTCTAATCGCTGAACCTAACCGGCCAGGGCAGAACACAGGGATTTAACTATGTGGATGCCTTACTCATGCACCTACTGGGCAAGCTAGTAAACTTTTCTTTTTTTTTAAATCCTCAGTCGAGGACATTTTTCCATTTTTTGTTATGGAGAGAGAGAAATATCGACATGAAAGGGACACATCGAATGTTTGCCACCAGCACGACCCAACCAGGGCCGGGGACAAACCGCAACTGAAGCACGTGCCCTTAGCAGGAATCGAACCCAGGTCTCTCTGGACTGCAGGCCGACGCTCCAACTGCTGAGCCAAACTGGCCAGGGCTAGTAAATTTTTCTTTAGTTGACTTACAAAGCTTACAAAGAGAACATTCCACTGATGAACAACTGGGCTCAAAAGAGCATACAACTTTATCCTTCCTATGGATTAAGTTTTTATAATGATGTTATGTTTAATATGGCAAATGTGGACATCAGGTTGAAATACTGTATAGTTAGTGCAATAGAACATTTAATTTAAAAGAAGATCTTACCTTTTGTTGTGTTGTGGGACCTAGTGACTTAGGTGGAAAAGTACAAGGAATTCTTCCATGATGGATATGATATGGTAATAACAGACTGGGATCTAACGGAACCCAGGGCACTGAGAGACTGGAAGGTACACCAGGGAGGCTGCAATGTGTTTTATGCAGATTGTATGCTGTCCTCGTAACTTTTCCGTCAGAAGTCTTATAGATCAGGAGTGAAGAATCTTCTGCTGCATGAGACAATAAGTAGGAACCTTCCTGCAAGCTAAATCCACACAATGAAACTCAACTCAGTGTGTTAATTTTAAAGCATTTTCTTAATCGGGTCTATGAGTAAAATCAAAAACCATATAAGAATGGAACATCACCTCTAAAAATACTTTTATGACCAAATAAGATTTAAGAAGTCTATTAAACTAGTTTCACATCTTTTAGTCAACTAATTTTTTTATAATTATTTTCTTTTTACTGTCACATCAGCCAATTTATAAATTTTCAATAACTTAATGGAAAACAATTAGTGTGCCTACTTCTCTAATCCACTCACTCAGAAACGCATTTCATGAATATATATTTATATCATTCTTACACAGAACATTTTAATTCATTCAACCAACACTGCATCTACTTTGTATCTAGTGACAGGTGACTAGAGATACAAAAGTAAATTTGATATATTCACTACATTGAGTAGTTTAAAAGAAAGTAGCAGAAACACTCAACAGAACAATATGAGGGATACAAAAAAGCTGATAGTGAATGTTTATCATGAATTAATTATTGCACTACTTATATCCATTTTATTATTAAATCCTCCACAACAAACCTTCAAGGCATAATATTAGAGATAAACAGAAATTAGAGATGGGAAGCAAAATGCCCAAAGTTCTGAGTGCAAGGCTTAGATAAAAAATCAGACAGTCACACTCCACCGGCCATACCCTTAATCATGATCCCCACTGTCACAGTAATCAGTTCTGGCAACCATCAAATATACATTTTCTCCTTTTCCTTAGAAAACTTTAAGGAATTCAGTGTATCAACATAAAAAGCTAAAAGAATATGATTAATATACTGTACTTTCTTAGGATTTTATACTCCTATAGCTCAAAGTATTAAGAAGAACAACAGTTCTTTCCCACAATATATCATTAAAAATAAGGATTAATCATACTTTAGTCATCTGGATCTGCCTACAAACCTGATAAGTTACATTTTCATTAATTTTTTAAACAGAAAGTAATGAGTATAGACAAAGGTGGTACAGACAATTATTTTTACCCTCTGGAGAATTTCTTCCCCAAACAAGCACTTTCATATTTCCATATCAGGAAATGAATAACAGTTGATTTGGTAGTAGGAATAAATAAAATTTTAAAGATTGACCTTACATCAGTGAAAATCATAGATCTTAACTAACTTCACTAAAAATAAAGGTGACTTTAGTTTACAGAGAGAATTCATTAAAAAATTAAATAGATGCTCCAAAGAAGAGTATCTTAAAAGTGCCAAAAAGGCCCTGGCCGGTTTGGCTCAGCGGTTAGAGCGTCGGCCTGCGGTACAGAGAGACCCGGGTTCGGTTCCCGCTAAGGGCACGTACCTCGGTTGCAGTTTGTCCCCGGCCCTGGTTGGTCGTGCGGGTGGCAACCACTCGATGTGTCCCTTCACATCGATGTTTCTCTCTCTCTCTCTTCCTCTCTCTCCCTCCCGCTCTGTCTGAACAAAAAATGCAAAAAAAAAAACAAGTCCTCGGGTGAGGATTAAAAAAAAAAAAGTGCCAAAAAGTACAATGTACACAGAGAATAAATGGCCTCCCCAAAAACGCCTATGACCTAAACCCTAGAATCTGTGAATATGTTACATTACATGGCAAAGGGGAATTAAGATGAAATTCGGGTTCCTAATCAGCTGATTTTAAACCAGTAAGATTTTCCTGAATTATCTTAGTGGGCCCTGTAATCACAAGAGTCCTTATATGTAGAAAAGGGAGGCAGAAGAACTCAGAGGAACATGTCACCGTGGAAGAAGTCAGAGTGATGTGATGAGGACTCAACTCGCTTTTGACACTCTGAGACGAAAGATGAGGGAAATGAGCCAAGGAATGCAGGTGGCCTCTAGAATATACAAAAGTCAAGGAAACAGACCACACTCAGAGCCTTATAGAAAAGAATGCTGCCTTGATTTTAGTCCAGGGAAACCCGTTAGAACTTTTGACTTATAGAACTGCAAGATAATAAATGTGTGTTGTTCTACAACACTAATTTTGTAGTAATTTTTTACAGCTGCAGTAGAAAATTAACACACAAACTAAGATAGTGATAATAAAATTTCATAGAAAACCCTCAAGACTCCACCAAAAAACTACTAGTTTTAATAAATGAAATCAGCAAAGTAGCAGGTTACAAAATTAACATCCAGACATTGATGGCATTCTTATACACCAATAATAAACTCTGAGAAAAAGAAATTTTAAAAAATCCATTTATCACTGTAGCAACAATAAAACAGATACCTAGGAATAAACTAACCAAGGAAGTAAGAGACCCATTCTCAGACACTTCTCCAAATAGGACAAATAGATGGCCAATAGATATATAAATAAAAAATGCTCAAGGTCATCAATCATCAGAGAGATGCAAATAAAAACTATAATGAGATATCACCTCACACCTCCTAAATGGCTACCATCAATAAATCAACAAATAACAAGTGCTGGCGAGGATGTGGAGAAAAGGGAACCCTAGTACTCTGCTGGTGGGAACGCAAACTGGTGCAACCACTGTGGAAAATAGTATGGAGTTTCCTCAAAAAATTAAAAATGAAACTGCAGTTTGACCCAGCGATCCCACTTCTGGGATTTATCCTACTAATCCCAAAAGACCAATCAGAAAAAATATATGCACCCCTATGTTCATAGCAGCTTTATTTACAATAGCTAAGATCTGGAAACAGCCCAAGTGCCCATCAGTAGATGAGGAGATAAAAAAAGCTATGGTACATTTATACAATGGAATACAGTAAAACCGTGATATAATGGATTAATTCAGGCAAGGGGTATTTGTTCATGCCAACAGTCTGTAATATAATAAAGCAGGTGTTCCAAATACATATGTTAAAAATTTGACAAACTAGTTTACCTGTTTTTACTTATGTAGACACATTTGTATAATTAAAATTAAGTATGTATGAAAAGTTTAATTTCACAGAAAAGTTTTCTAGATGTATTATTGTAATTTTACATTTAAACTAAATAGTTCTGGTAAATGCTTGCATTCACCAGTCACTATGAATAAACAAATGCACAGGGCTGGGGCGTGGCTTAGCACATGTCGGAACACTGGCCAGCACAATTAAACCTGCTGTAGAAGGTCACACTGCAGGACAAGAGAATTAATTATCAGGCGTGATGCAGTATGATCAAGTGCTAATCATTTGCTAAATATTGTTTAGGAGCAGTGACTCTTGGATTTAAATATGTAGACTACAGTTGTATGGAATAAATAAATAAACATGTAATATTTATGTCGGTGAAATAACTAGTGTTTTACCCAACACATGGCCTATTTGATAAAATTTGTTAAAAATAATTGAATTAATAACAAAACCCCTGTTAATTTAATTATGAGGAAATCTTGGTTAAAAGCATTTGACAATTAACAGGGTGGTAATTTTCACATATGACATAGAGACCGGAAATGTTGTATGTTAAATCTGAAGTCCCTTAAATCGAGGTCCACAAAATCGAGGGTTTACCGTACTATATGGCTGTAAAAAAAGAAGGAACTCTTACCCTTTGTGACAGTTCAGACAGACCTGGATATTATTACGCTAAAGAACATATATGCATATATGCATAGCCCATGGACACAGACAATAGTGGTGGTGAAGGCTGTGGTGGGGTGGGGGCTGGGTGAAGGAAGGGAAATGGGAGACATCTGTAATACTGTCAACAATAAATAAATAAATATTTTTTTAAAGTATTTTGAAAATTTCATGTGTAAGCATTGTGTTTTACATGAAGAACAGAATACATAAAATAAAAATCCTGCCACAGAATCAGAGAACTGAAAAGTACATAGGAAATTACTGAACTCAACACCATCATTTTATAAATAAGGAAATATATGTAATTGCAAAAAAAGTAGAAGAGTTAGAACTTTGAGATTTTTTTTTTTTTAACCAGACTCATGAACTGTTTTTTAGTTTATCTTTTTGGTAAGGGCATAACAGAAGAAACACTAAAGTTCATATAACAAGTTCACTTATTTAGTTTGATAAATCATCTGGTGAAGAATCCATATTTTAAAATTTGCCATGGACTTTTGATCACTAGCTCTATGTTGCTTCCTTATCCTGAAAATGTGAAAAATATAGCCATAGTAGGCTGAATGATGGTTACCCAGGATGTCCACTTCCTGATCTGCAGAACTGTTAATGTTACTTTTAATGGTTTTGCAAAAGTGATTATGGATGCAATGTGACAAAGGAAGCAGAAATATGAGTGATGTGCTTTGAAGGTGGAGGAAGGGGGCACAAGTTAAGGGATACAGGTAGCTACCAGAAGCTGAAAATGAAGGCAAAGAAACGACTGTCCACTCAGAGGATCCAGAATAAACCAGCCCTGTTGACATGAGTTTAGTCCAATGAAAAATAATTTCAGATTTCTGACCTGCAGAACTGTGAGAATACATTTGCAGTTTTAAGCCACTAAGTCTGTGAAAACAGGAAACCAATAATAATAAGCCTTTATAGAAAAATGTAAATATCTTTTTAGTTACATTTTCACAATTTCAACTTTGACATAAAATAATAAATCTTGCATTATATTGTATTTATTCCTAATAGTATATATTCAAAGTTTGTATGAATTTTCATCCAAGAAAATCAGACATATTAATGAAACTGTCCAAAATATACTTACCTAGTTAATTTCTTTAGAATGTGTTGGAGGATATTAAATAAACTTGAAATCCTATAAAATGGAAGAAATTGATGTAAAATTAAAACAACAACAACAAAACCCTTATCATTAACAATTATAGCTCTTCAGGAAGAGAAATGCCTTCAGTAACAAAGAAAATAGCTGAGACAGTGTAAAACACAGAATACCAAAATTTATTTCTAATTTAATTAAATAATAATATTTACTTAATTTCTGCCATTTCCTGACTTTTCTTCAAAATCAAGTATTGGCTTGCGTTAGAGCAGTCGTAAGAAGATCACTATTTTATATTCAAATTATAAACTTTTAAAAATGTTCAGAAGTCTTTAGCAGAACTAATCTGCAAAAGAACTTGCCTTTCAGAGATGGTCTTGAATTAGCCTCCAAAGAAATTGAGAGATACTTTAACTTGAGAGAAATTGAGTGATGCCAGAGAAGCCACTGACAGGACAGGATAAAGATAAAGATAAATAAAATATAAGGTATTTTCTTTAGTATCTCTTCTAAACCTAGACTCATTGCCATTCTTATTTATTTAAAAATGGTTTTCACTGGGAAAGGTGGGATGGAGGTGAATACTGTATACAAAAACTTTACATATTTTGTAAATGTAATGTATGAAAAAGCTTTACATAGGTTACCCCTCGAAAGAAGCAATCCTTATCATTGAAGAGGACATTTATGAGTTTAAGTAGAGAAATCAAGCTTGAAAAACTGTGTCAAGCCTCCAGGCTGGAACTATGTAACTAGTGTAGAACAGGACAACTTCTCATCCTAAATGGTAAATCAAATACATTATCTACCAAGGCTGTCACTAGCTCAGCTGTGTGCTCTGGAGCAAGTCAGAGTCCCAGTTTCCTCTTATAAAAATGGAGATAATACTACCACCAGTCCTTCTTAGAAAGTTGTGAGATGCAAATTACATAATGTTCATAAGTTATTTCCTTTGCATTTATTGTTCTGAGTACAGGAAATTCATTTCAGTCTGATGTACAGAAATGCTTGGTGGAGGGACACACTTTTAGAAATTAGGATGTCTAAATGAGTGCATACAATCCTGAGAGCTACGAGTCTGTAACGCCTTCTCTTTCCCATCCCTGAAATGTATGGTTCTGTACCACTCCAACAAGAAGTGGCTACTCTCTTGCTCCAGCCTCTTTTGTCTTAAGAAGAAAGATTGGTGCCACTGGCATTATATTTAATTTGGAGATGGAGATGATTAATAAGGATGGATCACAAGAAGCCTCAATGTGTAAAAAGGATTAAAAGTCTTGAAAATAAAGAATTTAAACTTAACTAATATTTTAAAATGTAAAAACAATTAGTGATCTAATACATTAACAAGTTTTTAAATTCCTATCACAAAATAAACTTTCTTACTTGAGTGCTGAAACTTTTTCTTTTAGTTCTTCTGAGGTAATTTCTTCTAGCAGGAAAAGCTTCGAAGTAAATGCATCGATATGACCTAAAATAAAATATCAAACTTAAAAACAATTGCTGTATTTTATTTATTTATTTATTTTATCCTCACCCGAGGAAATTTTTCTATTTTTTGTTCAGGTAGAGTGGGAGGGAGAGAGAGGAACAGAGAGAGAGAGAGAAACATCGACGTGAAAGGGACACATTGAGTGGCTGCCACCTGCACGACCAACCAGGGAAAGGAACAAACTGTAACGGAGGTACACGCCCTTAGCGGGAACCGAACCCGGGTCTCTCAGGACCGCAGGCCAATGCTCTAACCGCTGAGCCAAACCAGCCAGGGCCAATTGCCATATTTTAAAAAAACCACATCAAGTCATCCAGTCTCTTTAAAGATGTTTTTATAAAACTGTAATAACTATAAACACACTTTACATTCCAAAATAGGCGTTTTAAGTTTATTAAGTAAAGCTGTATTTTGAAATGACATAGCCCTGGCTGGTTTGGCTCAGCAGTTAGAGCACTGGCCCACAGACCAGAGTCTCAGGTTTGATTCTGGTCGAGGGCAAGTATCTCAGTTGCACTTCAGTCCCTGGCCCTGGTCGGGATTGTGTGAGAGGCAACCAATCGATGTGTCTCTCTCACATCAATGTTTCTTTCTTTCTTTCTCTCTCTGTCTTTCTCCTTCCCTCCTTCCCTCACTCCCTCCCACTCTATTTGAAGATAAATGGAAAAATATCCTTCAGTGAGGATTTAAAAAATAAAATAAAATAAATGACTAAACAGATTATAAAAGAAGTTATGTATTAATTCTAAAAAATGTGCTGAACATATAAAAGATTACACATGTCCAAAACTACAACAACAACCACAAAGAAATAATCTCTAAGCCCATAATTTAAGAATAATAACTTGTTCTGGCCGGTTTGGCTCACCGATGAGAGCGTCAGCCAGCGGGCCAGAGAGACCCCGGTTTGGTTCTGCTAAGGGCACGTACCTCGGTTGCAGTTTGTCCCTGGCCCCAACTGGGGCCGTGTGGGTGGCAACCAGTCGATGTGTCTCTCTCACATTGATGTTTCTCTCTCTCTCTTCCTCCCTCCCGCTCTGTCTGAAGAGAAATGCAAAAATGTCCTTGGGTGAGGATAAAAACAAAAAGAATAACAACTTAAAATATTGGTGTTTCCTATTGCTATAAATGTTGAATTTTTATGGAGATTAAATTTTGAAAGAAATACATATTTGTTAATCAAAGTAAATGAATAAAATCAAATTTCTTTTGGGCATCGCTATACATCTCTAAGATATACTTGATTCTTAAGATAAAAATTAAGATTATAAAAAGCCAACTTGATTATTCACAATAGCCAATACATAGAAACAACCTAAGTATCTGTCAATAGAAGAATGGATAAAGAAGATGTGATATATATACACACACACACATAGATACACACACACACATATATATAATGGAATATTATTCAATTATGAGAAAGAAGAAAATTCTGCTATTCATGACAACAAATATAGACCCTGAGGGGCATTATACTATATGAAATGAGTCAGACAAAGATAAATACTGCATGGTATCATTTATATAAAAATTCTTGAAAAAAAAGGTCAAACTTGTAGAAACAGAGGTAGAAAAATGATTCCCAGGGATGGGGAAAGAAAATAGGGAGAGGTTGGTAAAAGGGTACAACTTTCAGCTATAAGATAAATAATGTATAAATGGTGATTATGGTTGATAACACTGTAATTTATAATTAAAATTTGATAAAGTAGAACTTAAATGTTCTAGAAAAAATAAAAATAAAAGTATAAATATGTGAGGTGATGTGTTAATTAACTATATAGGAGAAATTCTTTCACAAAGTATACATATATCAAATCATCAAAATGTACAGTTTAAATATCTTACTATTTATCTATCAATCGTACCTCAATAAAGCTGAAAAAATCTGGCTTATTTTAAATTAAAGCACAACATATGTTTAACTTTGTATGGTTAAAAATAAAATAAAACAGTCTGCTCAAAGTTTTACTTTCTTACAAACATGGCATAATTCTAGAATTCCAAAAAAACAAACTGGCAAATTCTCAAGATGACACTTCTATTTTAAAAAGCAATGCATAGTTTCCATAACAAAACAAGGTTGAGACACAACACTGAGACCCTGAAATGTACCAAAGAAGAGTGATATAAAAGCCTGGAGTTAAATGTTAGATAATCAAGCCAATACAAAAACCATTATTACAGTACCCTAGTTAAAAAACCTCAATTTGCTTTATAAGAGTGTAATTCTCACAAATACTGAACATAACACTGTTTTTTTGTTTTTACTTTTTTTTTTTTTTTTTTATGTATTTATTTTTTATCCTCACCTGAGGACATTTTTCCATTTTTTGTTCAGGTAGAGTGGGAGGGAGAGAGAGGAACAGAGAGAGAGAGAAACATCGATGTGAAAGGGACACATCGAGTGGTTGCCACCTGCACAACCGACCAGGGCCGGGGACAAACTGCAACCGAGGTACGTGCCCTTAGCGGGAACCGAACCCGGGTCTCTCAGGACCGCAGGCCGACGCTCTAACCGCTGAGCCAAACCGGCCAGGGCTGTTTTTACTTTTTAAACTTCCAATATTTAGTTATCAAAACACATTATCTGAAAAGCTGAGGTCATTCACTGGGACAACAAAAATGTACATAATTTTTAATACCTCATTTTCAAATCTAGCCCTCTTTCATTTCATTTAACTTGTGCTCATAGAAAGAATTAGAAACACTTTTGCCAGATGCTTTTCTTCTAAGACAACAAATACATTTTCCCCATGCCTGTTTGTTACTTCCTATGCTAAGTTTTGGTTTCACCTCTGCATTTCTAACTCTTATTATAGAATGACATTTCTAATAACAAAGATACACTAATGGTTTAATAACTGTAGAAAGGGAATACTAAATACAATAAAATATTTTTAGACATTTACTAAATACACCTTCAAAGAGACTAACAATTCTTACTTTTTAAAGAAATCTCAATTAAAAGTATGTATTATAGCATACATCAAATACAGTCAGTCAAAAATAACTATACAGAGAATTCCATACTAAGTGCTATGAGGGCTACCTTCTCTCCTACACTCCCTCCCCTATTGCAATATTTTTCTTAAATTAAGAGTAAATAACATCATTAAAAAAAAACTCAAACCCATACATGCTTTAAAAGTAGCATTTCAAAACACATTCACCCACACACAAAAACCCCAGAGAAAGCACAACTATACAACAATAGAATATAAGTTTCTCACCAAACAGTTGTCAAAGAACCCAAATACACTTTCCCATTACATTAAAATGAATGGCTTACAAGTGGGTAGGATTGCTGAGGATAAACAGCACATAGGCCAATGATTACTTAGAAATTTTAAGAATGCTTTAAATAAAGTAAGCCATACATATGATGGCAGTTTTATATGTTAAACTGTACATTAAAACAAACGTTAATCATTATCTGTAGATAACATGATACTATATATAGAGAACCCTAAAGATTCCATCAAAAATCTACCAGAAGCAATAAATGAATTCAGTGAAATAGCGTGATACAAAATTAATATTCAGAAATTGGCTGCATTTTTTTTTAATCCTCACCGGAGGATATTTTTCCATTTTTGTTCAGATAGAATAGGAGGGAGAGAAGGGAAGAGAGAGAGAGAGAGAAAACCACTGACGTGAGGGGGACACATTGACTGGCTGCCTCCCGCAGGACCCCCACCAGGGCTGGGGCCGAACCACCCTTGACCAGAATCGAACCTGCGACTCATTGGTCCACGGGTCGACGCTCTAACCGCTGAGCCAAACTGGTCAGGGCTGCATTTTTATTTTATTATTTTTTTAATCCTCACCTGAGGATATTTTTCCATTGATTTTTAGATAGAGTGGGAAAGAGGAAGGGAAGGAGAGGGAAAGATAGGGAGGGAGGGAGACAGCGAGAGAGAGAGAGAGAGAGAGAGAGCGCGAAACATCAATGTGAGAGAGGCACATTGATTGGTTGCCTCTCTCATAACCCCAACTGGGGATTGTACCTGCAACCTAGGTACATACTCTTGACCGGAATCAAACCCAAGACTCTTTGGTTTGCTGGCCAATACTCTAACTGCTGAGCCAAACCAGCCAGGGCTGGTTGCATTTTTATACACCAATAATGAACTAAGAAAAAGAGAAACTAAGAAACAATCCCATTTTACAATGGCATCAACAGAACATAAGGTACCTAGGAATAAATTTAACCGAGGAGATAAATACTTGTAGTTGAAAAATTATAAGATACTGAAGAAAGAAATTGAAATGATACAAATAAGTGGAACCATGTACCGTGTTCAAAGATAGGATTAATTAACAGTATGATTAAAATGTCCATACTACCCAAAGCAATCTATAGATTCAATGTAATCCCTACTAAATACCAAAGGCATTTTTCACAGAATTAAAACAAATCATCCTAAATTTATATGAAACCACAAGGATCCCGAGTAGCCTCAGCAATCTTCAAAAAGAAGAACAATGTTGGAGGTATCATGCTATTTGATATCAAACTATATTACAAGATCACAGTAATCAAAATAGCATGGTACTGGCATAAAAACAGACATACATGTCAATGGAACAGATAGAGACCCCAGAAATAAACACACAGCTATACAGTCAATTAATATCTGACAAAAGAGGCAAGGACATACAATGGGGTAAAGACAGTCTATTCAATAAATGGTACTGGGAAAATTTGACAGATAAATGCAAAAAATAAAACTAGACCACCTTCTTACATAAAAATAAACTCAAAATGGAGGAAAAAGGCTTTAATGTAAGAGTTGAAACCGTAAAACTCCAAGAAGAAAACATAGGCAGTAAAATCTCAGGCATTTCTTGTAGCAATATATTTTTTCCTGATATGTATCTTTTTGGGCAAGGAAAACAAAAGAAAAAAATAAATAAACGGGACTACATAAAACTAAAAATTTTTGCCCAGCAAAGAAAACCATAAACAAACGAAAAGACAACCTACTAAAATGGGAGAACATATTTGCCAATGATACGTCTGATAAGGGGTTACTATCCATAATTTATAAAGAATTCAGACAACTTAACACCAGAAAAACAAACCCAATTTAAAAAGTGGGCAAAAGACCTGAATAGACACATTTCCATGGAAGACATACAGATGACCAACAGACATATGAAAAGTTGCTCAGCATCACTAATCATCAGAGGAATGCAAATCAAAACCACAATGAGACATCACCTCACATCTGTCAGAACAGCTATCATCAATAAATCAACAATTTGGTGAGGATGTGGAAAAAAGGGAACCCTAGTGCACTGCTGGTTGGAATGCAGATTGGTGCAACCACTATGGAAAACAGTGCGGAGGTTCCTCAAAAAATTAAAAATGAAATTGCCTTATGACTCAGCAATTCCACTTCTGGAAATATATCCAAAGAAACCCACAACAAGAATTCGAAAGAATATATGCACCCTATATTCATTGCAGTGTTATTTACAACAGTCAAGACATGGAAGCAACCCAACTGCCCATCAATAGATGAGCAGATCAAAAAACTGTGGTACAGCCCTAGCCGGTTTGGCTCAGCGGTTAGAGCTTTGGCCTACGGTCTGGAGAGACCTGGGTTTGGTTCCCGCTAAGGGCACGTACCTCGGTTGCAGTTTGTCCTGGGTCCTGTTTGGGTCGTGTGGGTGACAACCACTCACATTGATGTTTCTCTCTCTCTCTCTCTCTCTCTCTCCCTCCCACTTTATCGAAAAGTGTCCTCAGGTGACATTAAAAAAAACAAAAACAAAAACAAAAAACCTGTAGTACATATATATAAAAGAATATTACTCGGTCACAAAAAAAGAATAAAATCTTACCTTTTGCAACAGCATGGATGGACCTACAGGGTATTACACTAAATGAAATAAGTCAGACAGAGAAAGACAAATACCATATGATTTCACTTACATGTGGAATCTAATAAATAAAATGAATAAACAAAATAGAAACAGACTTATAGAGAACAGACTGACAGTTGTCAGGGGGCAGGGGGGGTTGGGGCTGTGTAAAAAAGGTGAAGGAATTAATAAGCAGTACAATTTGGTAGTTATGGAACAGTCACAGAGATGTACATTACAGCTTAGGGAATATAGTCAATAATATGACAACCATGTATGGGGCCAGGGTGGGGACTACTGTGGAGAATATTTAATTTTCTTCCTTTTTTTTTTTAATCCTCACCTGAGGACATTTTTCCATTTTTTGTTCAGATAGAGTGGGAGGGAGAGAGAGAGAGAGAGAGAGAAACATCGATGTGAAAGGGACACATAAGGTGGCTGCCACCCGCACAACCCAACCAGGGCTGGGAACAAACTGCAACCGAGGTACGTGCCCTTAGCGGGAACCGAACCCGGGTCTCTCTGGACCATAGGCTGACACTCCAACCACTGAGCCAAACCGGCCAGGGCGAAAATACATAATTTTCTAACCACTTTGTTGTACATCGGAAACTAATACAGAATAATACTGAATGTAAACTGTAATCGAAAAATAAAAAAATTAAGTAAAAATTATTGTAATTTTACAGAGGAGGGGGCACCACATAATGTAGTATATACAAGGACAGGTGTCCTCCTGACACTACTCTGATACGTAAAGCTGAATTACTTTGAGTAAATTGCATATCTATGCCATTACATTAAAACTGGTACTGTTAAAAAAAACAACTTTCAATGTTTTAGTCATGAATATCTACTCTCTGTCATTACTTTTAATTAGAAATGATTTCAATGATAAGCTTTTATTGGTCCTTTCCTAAAGTGGATATGGATGACAACTGCCTTTAAGTAGCTTACATGAAACTGTTGGTATGTTTCACGGCAAGAGGTCTTTGGGAGGACCACTGAAATCGTGCTCACCGGCGGAAAACTACTACTATACATTTTTGGCAGTGTGTTAGGAAGGGGGAGGAGGAAGCAAGAGTACCACTAAGAAGTGCATTTAACCACTTCCTTTTTGGCTTAAGCACAGAGAGTGAATCAATTATCTCATTAATACTGTCATAGAATATGAAGACAAAATATTGGTTAACCAAAATACAAAAAAAATGTTCAGGTTAGCAACCTTTTTATGATTAAGGAAGAAAAACACACTCATAACATTTATTATATACCAATAATTATGTTAAGCACTATGAGGATACAAAGTTTCATCAGATTCTTAAACTGCTTACTGTTTAATGAAAAGATAGGTTTAAAAAAAACAATAAAGTAGACAGCAACAAATCATAAGAGTAGCAAAAATTTTTTTAAAAAAAGAATGCATTGAGAGATCACAGGAAGAAAATGACGTACTAGAGGGGCAATCTGAATTGGTTGGGATGGACTGAGATGTGTGGGGTTAGGCACTCCACTGGGAGGGAACAGTATCAATAATAATTCGCAAGTAATTCTTCTTCATGTGAAGGATGTTAACTGTACATGAACCCAGCCAATACAAATTACATCCCTGCCTAACTACCCCCTCTAAAAGACGACAAAATAAAAACAAAGTAAAAAAAAAAAACAACCAAAAAACCAACTATTTTATCAATATTTGAAATTTTAAAAACAATGTCATTATAATTTTAAAAACATTTCAACTAATGCTTAAACTAATTAAAAAGTACTTTGAAAGAAGCTCATTAGAAAACATCTGTATTTTTACTTAATTACACTGTTAAAAATATTTTTAAAATAATTTTGTTGACATTCATGAACAACTAAATAGATAAGGAATAAAAGAGAAATTAAAATATTTGATATCACTAGTCCGACACTGTCATTTATTTAACTCTGGAGTAGGAATGGTGTTTTAATAGAAAGGAATGTTGACACAATAAAAAAACTGAAAACAAAAAATATAGAATACACATTTATAATTGAATTTAAAAGTATGTATTTATAAGGGAATGAAAAAGGAGAATAAAGCCTTTATATAACTTACCAACATAAAATGAGCAGTTGGAATGCAATAAACTTTCAGTCCATAAGCGACACAGTTCGCTTTCAGTCAGAGCTTCAGCTCCATAACAAGCTTGATACTCCACTTTTGGTAGAACATAAACTGGAAATTGCTGCAATGCAAGGTTATACTCTTTCAAAAGTTCCATTAATTTACTATTAGCAGCAAATATATTTGCCTTTAGTTTTGCCACTTTCAAAATGCTTTCAAGTAATTGTATTTGATCCTTTCAAATATAGTAGGATTGAGACAGAACGATAGCTAGAACCCTCGGGGGCGAGAGGTAGGTGAATAAGAGATCCTAATCACCCTCTCCCGACCTGCCCCGTCCCAGTAATATACCTCCCCACATATGCACATACTTTACTTCTGCCAGGGAATGTGACTGACAGCAGAAACCCTGGAATAGAGCCTATGATACACAATTGCCCAAAGGTTAAAAACTAGATTCTGGGAAGCAATGACTACCAAAATATACTAATAATTCTCAAGAAGAAAAAAAAATTTTTTTGCCCCTTAAATATTAGTCACATTATCTAAGGCTCAAATAATCTGAGTCGCTTGTTTTCATTCTATGAATGTATGAGCATTAATACCTACATTAACATCTGTGAATGCTGTTAGCTTCATTAATATAGAAGCTTTATTCTAGACACTAAGTACCTGGCAACTTACTGACTTAGACTTTATTGGTCAGGACAATAAACAGATTGAGTAAAACAACTGTCTAAAGAGGATATGTAAGAAAGAGGTGCTTGTGAATAATAAAATGTCAGTCATGTTCACTGTGCCCATATTATCTCATTTCTGTCAAAGAAAATTCTCTTAGCAGTGTCTTCACTTCAGCTGCAGAAGGAGAAACACATGATTCATGGATCTTACTCAGACTGATATGGCTACTTAGTACTTTAGAAATTATACTAAGCTGTCACTATATATTTGAAAATATTTCATAAATGTTTCAGAATTCCTGATTTTCACAAAGTGGCAAATTTAATGGGCTTGGCACCTTGGTGGTGCTAAGAACAAATCAAATCCAGTAAAATTTCTGTTAACAGTAAGTTTGGAGGCTTGGTTCATATGATTACCTTTGAATGCTGTAAAACTCTGAAGTAGTGTTTCTTAAATTTCAGTGTACATAAGGAATAACCTGGTGATCCTGTTAAAATGTAGCATCTGAGGTGAAGACCAAGTGTTTGTTTTTGGTTAATCCTTACCCAAGGATATTTTTACTTTTTTTTTTTTTTTTTTTTTTTTTAAAGATAGAATGGAAGGGAGGGAGGGAGCAACATCCATTTGAAGAAACACATCAATTGGTTGCCTCCCGCATGACCCTGACTGGGGCTGGGGATCAAACCTGCAAACCTTCCATGGGCTGACGCTCTAACCACTGTGAAACTGCCAGGGCACAGTTTTGCATTTTTAACAAGTTGTTGTTTCAGGGGCCAAACTTCAAGTAGTAAGGCCCCTCGATTTAATTTTATTGCTAAAAGCATTTTATTGTATAATAATTCTTGAGCAACTGGCAATCTACATTTAAAGTTACTTTTATAGTTGCAGACAGTAGTGAGAGATAAAGAAATGAAGGCCCAGCCCTGGCTAGGTGGCTCAGCTGGTTGGAGCATCAACCTGTACAGCAAGAGGTGGTGGGTTTAATTCTCATGTCAGGGCACACACTGAGGTTGCAGGTTTGATCCCTAGTTGGGGTGTATATGGCAGGCAACCAATCAAAGTTTTTCTCCCACATTGATGTTTTTTGTTCTCTCTCTCCCCCCCCCCCCTTCCTCTCTGAAATCAATAAAAACACCTTCAGGTCAGGATTTTTTAAAAAGGCGGCCAAAAGAGTTAAGAAATTTGCTCAAGGACACATAGCCAGTTTACAGCAGGGTTGGAAAAAGAGTAACTGATGAAAAAGATCCCCCTTTTGAATCATGATTAGATAACAAGAGTTAAAATTTTTTTAAGTAAAAAAAAAAAAAAATTACTATTTCTGAAAAGAAAATACTTTGGAGGATTTTCTTTGATAATACTGCCATATCTGTAAAACTAATTCATGAATCTGGTTTTAATTTCTATATGTATTCTACTGCCATCTCCAGGAAGTTAAGGGAAAGAAAATCTGAATATTTTATCTCAGTATTCCAAAATTAAAGGGAAAGTCTAAGTACAATGAAAGTGTTCTAATTATAAAAATTAAGTCTAATATTTCCTTTCTCCCTTGATAGGTAGCTCCTAGTCTCCCCAAGTGAAAGCTTTTCTTGGTTCTCTGTCTTCTAATTTTTCACATAAACCTTTAAAATTGTTGCATATATTCCTAAATAGATACTTCATAACTATTTCCCGACACTGATCCCACTGGGTCTATTCTACTCTTTCCTAAGATTCAAGCACCTTCATTATGTTTTTTCTCACCCTAGAATACCAATATAAATTACAAAATAATTGAATCTAAATTTTTGAAGCATTTTAGAATACATCTCAGGAAATTTGGTTAACTGAGACAGATAATATCAAATCATCCAAAGTTACTTGGTGTGTACTTCATAACTATGTGTAGAACTCAGTAAGTTCTAGCTTCACTTTGTGGTCCACATTAGCCCTCTTTTTCTGCATTTATCTTCAGATAGAGTGGGAGGGGAAGAGGGAGGAAGAGAAAGAAACATCGATGTGAGAGAGACACATCGACTGGTTGCCACCCACACGACACCAACTGGGGTGGGGACAAACTGCAACAGAGGTACATGCCCTTAGCGGGAACTGAACCTGGGACTCTGGTCTGTGGGCCAATGCTCTAACCGCTGAGCAAAACTGGCTAGGGCCAAATTAGCCCTCTTAATTTCATTCCATCATTTGAGATTGGTTGCTGCTTTAAATTCTTTGATGTGCAGCTCTTATTAAGCAGTGTTTTGATGAGGAAGGACAAATGATATTGGAAATTAAAATCTCAACTATGAAACAGAGAATTGAAGAACCAAAGAAAAATAAAAGAGAGCCTGGCCAGTGTGGCTCAGTGGATTGAGCACTGTCCCATGGACTGAGAGGTCCCAGTTTGATTCCTGGGCAGGGCAAATGCCAGGGTTGAGGGCTTGATCCCCAGTGAGGGGCATGTTGGAGGCAGCTGATCGATGTTTCTCTCTCACATGGATGTTTCTATCTCTTGCTCCCTTCCTCTTTCTAAAAAAATCAATAAAAACATATTTAAAAAAGAAAAAGAAAAGAGAAATGAGGTTCTTGGACATCAGAGGTTGAAGAGACTTCTATAACTTATTTTAAAGCTTTATCTAAATAAGTTGATTTTTAAGTAGGAAATACTAATGATGATGGATTCTAACCTATTTACAGTTTAAATAGTACCACTTTAAAATTTCTCAAACTAGTGCCTCAACTTCCCTAATTTCCCTTCTTTAACAACACCCTCCTTCTTCCTCACCACTCAATTTTTCTCATTTATTCAATACCTATTTATTGAGTTTCTATGGTATAAAATATTTGAAAGAAACAGAGAAAAACAGGACATGATTCCAAGGAGAACACATTCTGCTAAGGGATTTAAACCATGTGTACTAAACTATTACATACAATGATAGGTGCCATAGGATAACTATTCACTAAAAATTTTTAAATTTTACTCTGGGTTTGACACAGTCAGAAATATAAGGCTATTCAGATATTCTTTGGGACTGGACTGTTTTGGATATATTTTGATGAAGAGTGGATTCTCTCCTATAAAGTTTTGTTTTGACATTTACAAATTTCACTTTAGTCAAATGAACAACAATGTCCTTTAACAGGAATTCAGGAATTAAATAAGTATTCAAAATATCTCTAGGCTATTCTTACTTAAGTGACACTGGCCATCAATAATTTCTGAGGGCTGTAAACTGGCAGATTAATACAAAGTGGTATGGGTTCCCAGGTTAGAAAGTGAAAGTAATGTATCCCCCAAGAAATCGGAGACAGTAAGTAAGAATTAAAGATATAAAACCTGCCCTGGCCAGTTTAGCTCAGCGGTTGGAGCATCGGCCTGCAGACCAGAGAGTCCTGGGTTCGGTTCCCGCTAGGGGCAAGTACCAAAGTGAAAAAAAAAAAGAAAAAGAAAACCTTGCAAATATAATCCATAGGACTGACACTACATGTATGCAAGATGTTCATGGTATTCCCATTAAGTTAATCAGTTAAATACAGATGAGACAAGAAAAATTAGCAAATAAAGTAAAATCTTTTAATACAAAGAATATTAGTATTTAGGAGGAGACTGATATCAAATGTATAGTCTATTGTCATTCCTTGACTTTCTCTTATTAAAAAACACACACACATAAAACTCCTTCATACATTTAACTGAAAACCATTTGTTTTCTAAAATTTCAAGTCTGAAGTAGTGATGAAAACCAAGAATGAGGAATTTAATAATGTATTCACAATCTTTCTTAAACTTAAAGCATAAAGTATCATCAAGCAAAAGATCCACCAAGTCTATTGGATTCTGGTGGACAAAGTATACATCCTAGATACTGAAGAGTTGGCCTTAGAGTGTTTCCATGACAGACACCAACACTACCGCTGTTAGCACCTTAAAAAGGTTGACATGTCACTTTCTTTTTTCAGTTATTCCTCAATAATTTGATTTATAAGGACCAAAGCTGGAAGATGACAATTCTTTTTTTTTTTTAATTTTTTTTTTCTTTATTGATTTCCAGACAGAGAGGAAGAGAGAGGGAGAGAGAAGCAGAAACATTGATGAGAGAGAACATCAACGGGCTGCCTCTTGTAAGTCCCCCACTGGGAATCGGGCCCACAACCTGGGCATATGCCCTGACTGGGAATCAAACTGGCGACCTTTTGGTGCATGGGTCGATGCTCAACCACTAAGCCTCAACGGTTGGGCAGAAGATGATAATTCTTGATTTACCTAATCCCTAGCCCAAAAACACACTGATGTTATAAAGTGGTTGCTGAGGATTCTTATTGGATGGGAGGTTAGACAGCAAGAGACAGAGACATTAAAACTTTTCAAAAGCGCCCAGCTGGTGTGGCTCAGTGGATTGAGCATCACCCTATGGACTGAGAGGTCCTGGTACGATTCCTGGTCAGGGCATATGACTAGGTTTCAGGCTAGATTCCCAGTGGGGGCTGTGCAGGAGGCAACCCATCAATGTATTTCTCACATCGATGTTTCTATCTCTCTCTCCCTCCCCCCCTCTCTCTAAAATCAATAAAAACATAAAAAACTTTTAAAAAGTACACTATGACAAGTGTACACAAAAGAAAAAATTCTCTTAAGAAAAATATTAGAGCCCTGGCCAGTTTGGCTCAGCGGTTAGAGCGTCGGCCTGCGGTCCGGAGAGACCCGGGTTCGGTTCCCGCTAAGGGCACGTACTTCGGTTGCAGTTTGTCCCCGGCCCTGGTTGGTCGTGCGGGTGGCAGCCACTCGATGTGTCCCTTCACGTTGATGTTTCTCTCTCCCTTCCTCTCTCTCCCTCCCGCTCTATCTGAACAAAAAATGGAAAAATATCCTTGGGTGAGGATAAAAAAAAAAAAAAGAAAGAAAAATATTAGAGACTTCATTATTAATTATAATCAAGCTCCTCTTTATTGATTAGAATTCAGTGGTCGCACACACACACAAAAATCAAGTAATCTGGAAGATAATTTCAAATGTCAAATACAGAAAGCAGTTGAAAGAGCCAATTACTCAAATTGTAGCAAAAACTTTTTAAACTAAGGAAAATATTTATCTCAAACCCCCAAAAATAAGAGGGTAAAAAAAAAAAAGGAAGATATTTGGTCTTCAAAGAATCCTGGGAAGACTTTTCAAATGTGTGTGAAAGCCTACCTTTCACAATTTGGACTTCTAAAATGAGTCAAGATCCAGTGTGTCAGAATGGAAATCCAAATTACAGAGGAAGCAGGAACACACCTGCTGGTCTAGGTTAAATCTATGGAGGTGCTATTTTTCACAAAGTTTATATATTTCATGCAAGAAGGTTTTCAGCATTCATGACTAATTATATTTATATAAACTAAACATTTTCCCTTATTAAAAATGTTTTCAGTATTTTACTAAAAAATTCAACCTGGAAAAACTATACAAGTGATCAACTTAAAGTTCATAACAATGCCATATTACAATTAAACTTCATAACAATACCATATTAAATATTTGCTGATTATCTACTTAGGCTACTATATCCTAACTCCCCAAGTAACAACTTACTCTTCTGATTTTCTTCCGTTTTTTAGAACGTGGTCTGGTCTCTATCCTCTGGACACTGCATCGTACAAGTAACAACAGGTCTTGCAGGCTAAATAACTTGTAAACAAAATTTCCTTCCTGAGGAGCTACATATTCTGATGTATCTTCAACATAGTCCTGAAGTTCATATGGCAATCCTTTAAAAATAATTATATTTCTCATTTTTATTTTAAAATACATTAGTCGTTTATCCATCATAATCCAAGATAAAACAATTTAATGATCTATTTTTAAATTTCTATCAACGTTAGAGCATCTGTCCTCTAAGCTGACCATCACACTACTACCATTTCTGTTTACTTTTACTGGAACTGTAGCAAGAACTGAAATCGAAGTTTTAACTATTTTTAACTACTACCTTAACTATCCCTAGGCAAAGTATAAATTAGTGAGACAACATGTAAAGTGAGAATAAAAGAAGAGTTTTTAAAAAAATGTTATTCCTAATCTAGGCAGAGGTGAAGTTCAGCTTTATATCTATTTCACAAAGTGTAAAATACAAAACTGTAGTCCAACACCAAGAATAAATCCATTTTGGACTAATAAAAGTTTATGATTATTTTTGATGCACTTTCCCTTCATCAGGTTGGCAACCTACATTACCTATAGCTTAGTAGCCACTGTACATGTTGGATAAACATAGGTTACAAAATCCATACAACTCTGGGTACATATTTAGAGAGAAGGTTTGGCAGCTAAAATCCTGATAAGTAGATTAAAAACATAAATATCAATGACTACGTAAAGATTATAAAACAGGTTTTAACAAAGAGAAAGTGGGAGAATGAGGGAGAAAATGGAAAGACAACAGGCAAAACAGTTAATGTAAAGTTTTTTGTAAATATTTACTTACGTCCTTTTGGCTTCTGAAATGCAGAAGACCATATAGTTTTGGGCCACGTAGAGGCATCTGAGGGAGCAGAGGGTGGCTCGGAAACAGGAGGTTGTTTGGAATTTTCTACAGTCATTAAAGGCAATTCAGGTATTTTTCTGGAAATTGGCTTTAAAAGTTCATCCTGCATTTTTAAAATCTCCCCAACTGGATCAAATTTTTTATATACTCGTTTGATAGGTTTTTTTAAAACACAGGATTCTTCAGGACTACAAGTAGTATTAATCTGGTTTCCTACAGAAGCCTGTCCTGGGGATGAATTTGGGCTGGCTGGTGTAGAACTTAAGTTAGAACCCACAACAGCTGTCTTTCCGTTACTATTTTTTTGACACTCTGTATCAATGATTAAACAGTCTTCATCTGTATCACTATGGCAAGGAACTACATCTTCAGTTTTCGCTGCTTCTGATGTAACAGACTTTTCCTTCAAATTGTCTGTGTTCTCTGGAACATTTAGTCTTTCATCAGCATACACTGTATCAGTAGCCATTTCATTTTCATTAGAGGTTTCAATTTCTGCAGAACTTCCTAACTGTAAGGCATCAGATGTTTTCAAGTCACCATCTTGCATCAGAGACTTTTCAGAATTATCTGATGTCTTCTCACCACATGGTACACATCCCTGATCATCTTTATTTTTACATTCTTCAGAGCCACCATCCATACCAGTCACCAGCTGTTTCTCCTTCTGCAACTGTTCCATTAGAATCTGAGATAAACTCCTAGAATGAGCAGAAATGTCTACTGGTGCATTTGGTGCCACAGGTGTGGTTGCTGCACGGGGGGCTGTGGGAGTGTCTGTCTTGTTGGGTACTGTGAAAGTACTTGCTGGACTTGGTGACTTGGATGGTTTGGTGGTGCTTACTCCAAAAGTTTCAAGTTCTGTGACATCTTCATCAAAATCCAGATCCAAATTTTCAAGGGTCTCAATTTTTCGGCACTCATTAACTTCATGAGACATCTTAAGAAAATATATTGGTAAGCTATTAGCAAAAATTCCAGACCACACCTCAGCTGTCTCTTAATGCCCCTACTCCTTACAGACATAGTTCATGTTCTTTAAAAGCAGAAAGTCTAATGGCTCTGAAGGTTCTTGTTTAAGATGACAATATACTACTAGCAACTAATTTATTAAACCTTACATTCCCGCTGAAATGTTGATGAGACACAAATTTGCCAACCTGTAACAACACAGGAAATGGGGAATACTTGTGAACTACCACATCCCAAGAGGAATTTCCACTAATCAAAAAGTAGACAGGACCTCAAAGACATGTAGGGCCAAACAGGAAGGAAGCAGATTTTCATTCACACCCACTTCACACACTCTTGCTGAGACACTTGGCCTTAGCTAACAGGAGAAAAGCCTCTTTGCCACTGTGAGGAAGCTGCTTTTTCTTTTTTTAATTCCTCACCTGAGGATATTTTTCCTATTTATCTTCAGGTAGAGAGGGGGAAACATCAATGTGAAAGGGACACATCAACTGGTTGCCTCCCGCACAACCCCAACCAGGGCCCGGGATGAACTGCAACTGAGGTACGTGCCCTCAGCTGGAATCGAACCTGGGACTCACTGGTCCGCGGGCTGATGCTCTACCACTGAGCCAAACTGGCCAGGGTGGAAGCTGCTGTTTTAATGCAGCTGGTGAAGAGTCGTCAACCTCTGGGTCTATTGCACCAATCACGCCTTTCCCTCTCTACATCTATTCAGGGAAAACAAACCTCAGTAACATGAGGTGAAATGGCCAGAAAGTGATTTTATTGTATTCTAGGACATGAAGCCATTGAAGCTGTAGTTTTTCATGTACTATTTTGGTAATGGAAGAACTACAGCAGCTTTAATTTATTCAGGAATAAACGGTCCTCTCCTCTAAACAGCAGCGCTCTCTCCTCAATCTGGCACAGGATGTTAAATAAATACCATGAAAATTTGGTTACAGGCTGGGCTCTGTACACCCATTAGTGTTACAGCTTAGGACTGAAGAAAGAAAGAGTTTGACAGCAATCAGGCAGTGAGTAAGACCAACCTGTGTAAGTTTTTAAAACCTCTCTGAACCTTCAATTCTTCATCACTAAAATAGTGATAATAGGGTCATCTAGATTTGTTCCAAGAATTAAATGAGAAATTGCATATAGAAAGTTACTTGACACAGTTCCTGACATAGTAAATAGCCTCTCAGTAAATGGCAGTTCTTACTAAAATAAAAATACTGGATTTAGTAAAAAAATAAAATTAAACTATATGCTATTTATAAGGCATTCTTTTACAAAAAAGGTTCCAAACAAAACCATAGGGCCTAACATCAAGAAATAAAGAGAAAAAGAATAGCAATATTAAGTGTTAGACAAAGCAGAATTCAATGCAAAAAGCATTAGACAGAAAAAGAAATCCTATGTTGAAAAACGAGGAAATCCATGATAAATAGATAATGGCTGGTCATGAATTATGACATGCCAAAAAACATCAAAATATGTAGTCAAAATGTTAAAGTAAAAGGAAAGTTTGACAGAAACACAACTGTACTTGGTCAATGAATGCCATACTGTCTCTACGTATGTAAAAATAGAAACAGAAAGTATGAATAACATTAAATGATTGAAACAAATATAGACGAATGGCTGGAAACATATATATAGAGACCACAAAGATATACCTTTTCCCTCCCAAGAATCCAAGGGGCATTTCCAAAGATGGACTATAAGTTAATATACAAAGAAAACATCAATACAGCACAAAACACAATTTGCTAAGGTCTTACTCTCTGCTTCGAAGGGAATAAAATTATAAATCATTAAAAAAGGTAAACAAACAATAAATCCAAGCACTTGGAAATGAAAAGAAACACTCCAAATATTAAATTAATGTAATTACAAAATACTTTAAAAGCAACAAAAATTAGAACACAAGACTTTAAAAATCAGAAGTATCATTTCTAGCTTTTATAAGAAATCAGAAAATAATATAATCATAATAGTAAAATAAAGAAATTTGATAAATATAAAGCCAAAAATTAATGAATTGAAAAACAATTCTCACCCCCCAACAGAATTTAGATAAAATTAAAATATCATTTATCTGTAAATACTTTAGCATGTAGCTACAAAAGAAGTCTTCTATAAAATATATCCTTATATCAATAAAAGTTAATAATTCCTAATGTCATAAAATTTCTAATCAAGTGTTAAAATTTCCCAGTGTGATATCTTTTTACAATTGTTTATTGAAAAGTATCCAATCAAGATCTCTACAGCACATTTGGTTGACACATCTCTCAATTTTCTTTGTCAAATGCCTCATCCCATACTTTGCCAATTCCCACATCTGCCAGGTACTTGTAGAAGAAACCAGATTAGTTATCCTGTAAAAATTTCCACATTTTAAAATTGATCTGAGAGAGAAACATTGGTTTGTTGTTCCACTTATTTATGCACTCATTGGTTGATCCTTGTATGTGTCCTGACCAGGGATCAAACCCAAAACCTTGGTGCATCGGGACAATGTTCTAACAAAATGACCTACCCAGCCAGGGCCACAATTTCCTCATTTTGGATTTTAACTTCTGCATCCTTGTGATGTGATTTAACACATTCTTATAGTCTTGGAATTTCCTATTAAAATGATTTAGTAGCTTGATCAGATTCAGGTATAATTTTTTTTTACCTGAATATGTTATTTATGGGACTGTGTACTCCCACTTCAATCAGGAGGCTAATGATGTCTGGTTATCTTTCTTCTTGTGATATTACAATTGATTTGTTGGTTCATCAAGTTTCATCAACTTAATCTATCCATTATAAAATTCCTCATTGATCTTCTAATGATTTTAGCAGCCATTGATGAGGATCATTGCCTAGATTCACTATTTCATTAGGGGCTACAAAATGATGACAGTCATATTCTCTCATTACCCTGAAAATATAGTTTGTACTAGAAAGGCAAGACAAATACTTGATTTTTTAAATCAGTTTTCAGAATAATGACTTCATGCACTAGTATTCTCCAAAAGTGACTAGTACTTTTTATAAAATATCATTATAAAGTAACGGATTTTAACATATTTCATATGTTTCAATCTACTGCAGTCATCCTTTGTCATGGTCAAACTGACATGTTTCTGGCCAATGGGTAGCCCTTCAAGTTGGCTCTGGCATCTTTTTGATACAATTCCAATATTATTATAAGGCTTTTACTTAACTTCTTTGATTGGCATTTGTATCTCTTATGCTGAAATTCTTGGTTCCTAAATATAATTACTTATTTGCTTTTTTGTAATATCTAATGTGTTCAAAATAAAAACAGCATTATTATTAAAAATATGATTACTAAAGGCAGTTTAAGATTTTTCAGCAGTTCTTTCTGAACTTAGGACATAAATATTTAGGGATGTAGAGTCAAATTACGTTTCTAATCACTTAAAATAATTCTTCTCTAACTGGTTAAACCACTAACTTGGTATACAATGGGTTCATTTGTTTCACTTCAGCTTTTTTTTTCTATCCTCATCTGAGGACTTTTTTCCATTTTTGTTCAGATAGAATGGGATGAGAGAGAGAGCGTGCAAAAAACATCGACGTGAAAGGGACATATCGAGTGGCTGCCTCCGGTACAATCCCAACCAGGGCTGGCGAGGAATTGCAACCGAGGTACGTGCCCTTGGCCGGAATCAAACCCACGACTCATTGGTCCACGGGCCAACGCTCTATCGCTGAGCCAAACCGGCCAGGGCCACTTCAGCTTTTATAACATTTTAAAATTTGTTTTATAGACATATAAAACATTTATATGGCTCAAACTTAACACTATGAAACAAAGGACATTCAGAGAAATCTAGTTAAATCCTGCCTCCTCTGCTTTGTTCCATCCCTCCTTCAATCAACCATTTTCATTCGTTTTAGGTTTATTTTTCATTGTGTAGATTTTCTTTCTTTTTTTTTAATCCTCATCTGAGGAGATATACATATATATATAAATACACACATTTACCTGCTGACAGAGTGGGGGGAAGGGAGGGAGAAAGAGAGAAAGATCAATGCGAGAGTCACATTGACTGGTTGCCACCTGCACAATCCCAACTGGGCCTGGGGATGAACCCCAACCAAGGTATGTGCCCTTGGCTGGAATCGAACCCAGGACTCTTTGGTCCACAGGCCTACGCTCTAACTGCTGAGCCAAACCGGCCAGGGCAGGATTTTCTCTTTAATTATATACAAATATGTATATGTGTATACAGGGTGGGGCAAACATAGGTTTACAATTGTGGGTATAAAAATAATAAAATAATTAATAAATAATAATACAAGAATAAACTCTGTGTTTCATGTACTTACAACTGTAAACCTATGTTTGCCCCATCATAGATTTATATTTCCTTCTTTCTTAAATAAAAAGTAGCATGTTACACAAAACGTTCTCTTCCTTGCCTTTTTCACTTAGCAATATACCTTGGATGTTAATGTATAGTGGCATAACTACAATTTCCTCATTCTTTTTAACAGCTGCTTAGTATGCTATTGAGAATGTACAGTTTATTTAATCAATACCTTAAAATAAGGTACATGTGTGGATTGTTTCCAAACTTTCGCTACTGCAAATAGTACTGCAATGAATGCCTTGCACATACATTTTGTTCTTTTCCTGGTACTTCTGAGCTACATTTCTAGAAGTGAGATTTCTAGGATGAAGAGTTTTCACATTTTGTGAAATTTGGGTACATCTTGACTGTAGAAATATAGCAATTATGTTTTCTCCCCTCTAATACCTTTGCAAGAGCTTCCACCAACAATCTTTTTCTGTTCCTCAGATGGGTTTTCCTGCTCCTATGGGAGAATGATCCCGTGCGTGGGTGTGCCAGAATAGCCTTCTCAGCTCCACAGCTCTAAGCTCACACTTCACTGTTACCACCAAGTACGAATATATATATATGCAGGTTTGTGTGTATGTGTGTGAATCTTTAGTACATTCTGAAATCTGGTTCCTCTATTCCCTTCTCATACAGTTAGTTATCTGAAAACTTTTCTTTACCTTTAATGTCCTTGTTCTGCTCAATATGGATTCTACTACTGGTAATTTTTCCTGAGCAAAGGCTTCTGTCTTGGAAGGGACTTTGGCTGGTTAGGTTCTAGAGTTCTTAGGGCCCGAGTCATCTCAGAAATCTCTTAACTTCTTGAGTGACCCTGTCATCACCTACAAATTAAAGCCTATACATATTACTTTCACTTTGTTATTCTTCATTCCTCCTTCTGCCTGGGATTACTTTCCTTGTGCCTGAAGAATATTCACTAGAGGGGGAAGGAGGTCTGCCCATAGCAAATTCGACTTTTTTGTTTGTTAATCCTCACCCGAGGATATTTTTCCATTTTTGCTTCAGATAGAGAAACAAAGGGCACATTACCTGTACAGGACTGAGAGTTAGACTTACAAATAACTTCTCAATGAAACAATGGAAGTCAGGAGACATTGGAATGACACATTGTGCTAAGAGAACATTCACTAAAATTCTCTAAGCAAATTAAATATATTTTTCATTAAAAATTGAGTTTGCTCCCTGGCCAGTTTGGCTTAGCTGACACTCTAACAGCCCTTTGTCTCTGATGCCTTTCAAGAGTTTTTTCTTTGCCTCCAAGTATTAATTTCATCCCAATACCTCTTTTACACTATCTTTCTGGGTGCAACCACACATGTTAGACATTCTCATTATGGGTTAGGGATCTCGACCTATTATCTTTGTTGTCTGTGTTATAATATGGATAGTCTGTTCAGATCTGTCTTCCAGTTTACTGATTGTTTTTTCAGCTTTATCTAATGTGCTAATAACTCCATTTACAGAATTCTTAACTGTACTTACTGTATTTTTCAGTTTTAAAATAGTTATTTGGTCCTTTTTCAAATCCGTTATAACTTTTAAAAGTTTCCAGTTCCTCACTAAATTTTTCAAGCATTAATTTCCTTGAATATTGTATAATTAGAGTTGGTTAACAGTTTTTGATGGATAATTCTAAGATCCATTTATGGATCCAATTTGGTCTGTTTCTTTGGTCATTGTTTCTGATGGTTCCAGTTCACAGTATCTGGTCTCCTCCTGTTTATAGTTATCTATATTTGAAATTTGTTTCTTTTATTGATTTTAGAGAGAGAGGGAGAAAGAGAAACATTGATGAGACAGAAACAATATTTGGCCGCCTCCTGCATGCCCCCCACTGGGGGACTTGGCCCACAACCTGGGCATGTGCCCTGACTGATAATTGAACCAGTGACCTCTTGGTGCATGGGTTGATGCCCAACCACTAAGCCACACCAGCCAGGCTAGTTATCTATATTTCAAAAAGTTATTCATAGAAACAATTTGAGGCTCAAAATGACATTATGTTCCTCTAAGAATTACTTTCATTTGCTTTTGCTAAGTATCTAGAGACACTAGTAATGCAAAAGCATCTGAATCCTAGTTTAAGGCCTGAAAACTCAGGCTACAACCTCTGAAAAGGCTGATTTATTTCTGGTTCACCTTTATTTTTGGGGTATAGATCTGCAGTGTTCAAGCCTTTGATAAAAAACTGAACTCTGACTTTTGTCTCCCTTATCCTGTGATGCTGCCAAAACCATGGTTCATTTTCTGTTGTCTCTTCAGACCTGGTCAATACCATCCAGGATAAAAATAACCCTAAGTGACAGCCTCACCTCCCTGGATTCTGGTCTTCCTGGATATCTCAGCTCTCACTATCTTGTCAGCTCTTTGATGATTTTAAGAAAGATTTTTTTTATATTTTGTCCATCCTTTTTTAGTTGTCAGCAGTAATAACTGCTTCTTGGCCTTTTGGCTAAGATCAAGTGTAGTTGTCTGCAGTAATGAGAAAGATCCAAAGAACCTGGTCTGCCATTAATGAAAGGAGTTACTCTGTCAGGTTTCTTCCCTTTAAGTTGTTTCATGTTTCTTCATAATACTTGTTACTTCCTGACATTCACCTCATACTAATATAAGTTTCAGGTAGATTTAAAAATGTTAAAAAAAAAAAACTTAAGTGGAAATGCTCTATGACATATACATCATAAAAATATTAAGACAAATGGCAAACAGAGAAAAATACAAACAATATAAAAGACAGAAAGCCAATATCTTCAAAATAATGTAAGCTCTTAGGCAGTAATAAGAAAAATGGTTTTCTATTTTACTTTCTTTTTTTTTTTTTTTATCCTCACCCGAGGACATTTTTCCATTTTTTTTGTTCAGATAGAGCGGGAGGGAGAGAGAGGAAGAGAGAGAGAGAGAAACATCGATGTGAAGGGACACATCGAGTGGCTGCCACCCGCACGACCAACCAGGGCCGGGGACAAACTGCAACCGAGGTACGCGCCCTTAGCGGGAACCGAACCCGGGTCTCTCTGGACCGCAGGCCGACGCTCCAACCGCTGAGCCAAACCGGCCAGGGCTATTTTACTTTCTAATTTTGTTTCTTTTCTCACTTTATTCAAGTCTTTGTTTCTATTTCCTCTCCCTGAAAAAGCCTTCTTGACCATGAATCTAAAACAGTCCCATTTCTATCTCTTTTTCCTTAACCTACTCTATTTTTCTGCATAGCATTTATCACTACCTGCTTTTTTGCAATTGTTTTGTTAATTATCTTTGTCCTCTTATAAGCTCTAAGAGAAAAGAGACTTAATTTTTTTCACTGCTGTATCTTCAGAGGATAGAAAAGTATCTGCTCAATAAATATTTACAGAACAAATGAAGAAAGTCTGGTATAAACAGAATATCTTACTTTAATATGGAAAAGTATTTAAAAATACACAAAATAACAAAAGCTAGTATTTCTGGAGTGCCAAGCATTGTTCTAAATCAGTGGTTCTCAACCTTCCTAATGCCGCGAACTTTTAATACAGTTCCTCATGTTGTGGTGATCCCAACCATAAAATTATTTTCATTGCTACTTTACAGCTGTAATTTTGCTACTGTTATGTCTTAGGCAACCCCTGTGAAAAGGTCATTCGATCCCCAAAGGGGTCGCGACCCACAGGTTGAGAACCGCTGTTCTAAATGCTTTACATGTATTAACTCATTTAATTCCAAATAATCCTATGAGTTACGTAATATGATGATACCCATTTTACAGATGAACAAAATAGACACAGAGAGATCATGTAGCTTTCTTAAGGTCACACAGCTATTAAGTACACTGAAAAGGATTAACAATCTGGCCAAATACTTCCTGTACCAATAAAATTCATCTGTTCTTTTTCAAACTTAAAAAATCTTTAATATAAATATGAACAATTAAAACTACCACCATGGTTATCACCATTGACTGAGTTTTTACTACACATATATTAAAGACTACTCAGCATTTTATATGTAATATCAAACTTATTGCTTACAACAATCTCGTGAAGTAGATTATTACCTTTCTTTTTATTTATTTATTTTTAAATATTTTTTAAAATCTTTTAGAGATAGAGGAACAGAGAGATAGAAACATTGATGTGAGAGAGAAACATTGAATGACTGCCTCTGGCACACCCCTCATTGGGGATCGAGTCTGCAACCCACGCATGTGCCCTGATTGGGAATTGAACTGGGAACTCTCAGTCCATGGGACAGTGATGCTCAATCACTGAGCCACACCAGCCAGGTTCACCTTTCTTTTTAAAAAGGAGAAAAAACTGAGGTTGAGGGAAGTTAAATTAGTTGCCTAAAGGCTAGCCTGACTTGGGGTTCAATTTTAAGTCTCAATCTAAAGCCTCGATTTTTAACTACCAGATTTAAAGACTTGTAATAAAACTTCAGGCTTCAATAGAACAAACAAATACATTCCCTTAAGAAAAAACAAACAAACATTACATACATCCATTTCAGGCATATAATCTTCTGGTTTGTCCATAAATACTGCAGAGACTGGAACAGATGTGTTTTTGGACATCATGAATTTTAATGGAATTTCATGGAAGATTTGATTTCTCTCTCTCATTGTCATTTTCTTTTGGGGAAGTGGTGAATTAATATAAATTACTTTAACTGGTTTTGAACCTTAAAACAGAAACAGAGGGGTGATTAGTTTCTAGTAGTTATATTTAAGAAAACAAAACCAGGATGTATGACAAAAGGATCCCTAAACAAAGAGACATGGAATAGGAAAGGGGTAGGTAGCACAAGTCCTGTATATCTGCTACCACTGAACCAGAAAATCTTTTCAAGTCCCTTAGAGATCTAAGGATCAGAGAATCTGACTGGCAAACAAACAAAATAAAATAAAATGAAATAAAAATGTTTTCTTTCTATAAATTTTAAAAAGAATTTCTGCTTTTATTGTTATACTTTTATTGTCATTAATACTCAGTTCTTACAGGGTTATGTTTTCACAAGTGATGAAGTTTTTACCACAGAAACTATTACATTTAACTCTAATTTGTAGTTTTGTTTCATTAGACACAGTCCTCCATTTATTATAATTATGTTGTTACATATAGTATTAATTCTGGAAGATAAGAAAAAACTATTAACCAAAACAGAAGGGGAGTAATCAACTGCACATAGGAATTTACATGCAAATATAGTTTTACTGTCAATAGACAGGCTATCCTATGCTCAAAAGCACAGACCTATTTTAATTCTGCATTCCAATAACAGACTAGTAAGTAAGTCCTGGAAACTCACCCATTTGATGTTGTCTGATAAAGTATTGCATGCCTTTCATCTCATTGAAAGATAGAAGAACACCATTTCATGTATTTTTGGTCATACAAAACAATAATTATTTCCCTAATACCTCTCACCCCTCAACATGAATACAGGTTGTGGAAATCTAATAACTCATTATCTGTGTCAATTCAATGGTAGCACTATTTAAAAAGTTCTACTGAATGTAAATGACAAACTTACATCCTCTTTAAATCAAAACTTATAAATTCATATTTGACAAATGACTACCTATGTTTAGACAGCTGTAATAAAACCATTCCAACTCCTCTGTTAAGAGCATTACCTGACATGGCAAATCACAAACCTGCAACAGGTATTACTTGAATACACACTGGAATTTCCCACTGTTCCTTGTAGTCTGGTCCATGATTATTTAATAAGGCAAATAATGATTGACTAGTTAGAGCTATCTGAGGGTGATACCTTGAAACAAGCTTCTCTGCATTTGGATCTTTACTAATATCCTGAAAAACAAAATATAACCTGTTACGTCATTATACTTACTGGAAATTTCTTTAATAAAGTAATAAAAAGAAGGACATTCAGGAAGGGGACTTTAGAAAAATCAGATTATATGTACTTTATGAGGTACAGAAGATTACTTACAGAGATCCCAACCACCTTTGTACTTACATAATGCATAGCTGCAGCTGTTTGTTCTGGTGTCTCACTGGTTGATACGTTATCTTTTGAGAGCTGCAACTTTGCAGGCATGGAGGGAAATACTGTTTTCACATATTTCACGCTACCCTAAATAAGAATAAAATACATATTTATTGCAAAAATCTTGATGTATTTTTCATTAAGTATCCTTTCATCACATGAAACTTTGAGGTTAAAATTCTTCATTGTAGCCCAGCTGGTATGACTCAGTGGCTTGAGCACTGTCCCAAGCACCAAGAGGTCACCAGCTGGATTCCCAATCAGGGCACATGCCCAGGTTGCAGGATCAATTCCCTATGGTGGGCATGTAGAAGGCAGCTGACCAATGCTTTTTTTTTCTCTCTCTCTCTCCCTTTCTAAAAAAAAGGAAAATCAATAAAAACATATTTTTTAAACAAACAAAAATTATTCATTATACTAAATGCAAATGTCAAATTTAGAGCCTTTTAAGTCAAGACTTTAATGGTTTTGCTTGACAACCATCATATATATGTATATAAATATATATTTATTTATATATATATATAAATAAAAGGGTCCAACACAAGGGTGCCATGGAATTTTCCCTGCCACTTTAACCTCTCATTTTATGAGGTAAAAATCATCATAGGATATAGCAGAAACTCTAAAATATCCTCTTTACAAACACACACACACTTCCAATATGATTGTGCATAAAATCCCTTAAAAAAAGGGAACTTCCTGCTTATATTCAGTAACATTAAGATGGGAACTAAGAAAAGAAAATCAAGAAATAAAGTGGGTAGTGACTTTTTTAAAAAACATAAAGTAATAGTATCCATAAAATAAATAAGGACACATTTATATTGCATATTTTAAAAGTTATATCTCATTGTTGTTCAAAATTTAAACACAAATGTTGTCTATGTGAAATACAGGTGATGTTTCAAACAAAAATAAGTATATACTTTCACATGGTAAACCTTACCAATGCGAGAAGAGTTTTTTCTAACTTTAATCCCATCTCTATTCTGAATGGGAAGAATCCCATTAAGCTGGTGACTTCATGGAGAGTATAGAATTCTGGATACTTTTTCACTTGGTCAATGCAAGCTCTTAAAATTTGCTAGAAAATAAAAACCAAAAGAAAGTCATTTGTATTGTACCTCTCTAATAATCCAACAAAAATAATTTGTTACACATAAATTAATAATTATTCATTTCAAATATAGCCTCATTTCATTAATCAAACTTCTAACAATCCAGGCATACTGTATATTCCTTATTTAATTTAATTTCTTATTTTTCATAATACTTATAAACCTAACTTCTTAAAATACTGATCTTTAATAATACTAAAATTAGCAATTATATTAAAATTTAAAATTAAAGAGAGAAGACATCTTTTTCTATGCTATTAAAGAAATTGTCAAGGAAATACAGCCACATAAAAATTTCAACACACTTTACTGCAATAGAAGCAGTTATGTGAATAATTATAAATAAATAAGTTTAATATCCTAAAAAGATTCCCAAGCACAAGGAATTAACGAAGTAATTATTTTACATGTCATTCTAATCTATAATCTAAAAAATAAATGAGAAATGTTGTAACTAATTCAAATATGGAGTATTTCCCTTCTCTCCAAACTGTTTTTAAAATACCAATAATTTACCAGGAAATGTAATCAGGAAGGAAATAAAACTCACAGTTTTACCCAAGCAAAATATATGCCACTTGTGGTAACATGTAGATAACGCAAAGGAGCACGCAGTTTTGGGTGGGGGTGAGGGGCTTATAATTTTAAAAATACACAGATATTATCTTCTAAGATAAGTATATTTTCTTCTTGTCAATGAGCCAAATCTGAACCTTTTAGAATGTACTTTACATCACAAAAGCCCTTCACAATAAGCATGTGTTTATACAATATGTATATCTCCTTTCCCTTCAGACATTTATATAATGTGTCATTATAAATCAATAACTTTACTACAGTATATCTTTTCATCTATAGTTTCATATTTTCTTCTTCCCCTCCCAATCTTCACTCCCAGCTATCTTTCACATCCCCACCCCCCATCCATGCTTTTCAATACTGCCTTTAATATTTAATTCAGAGTATTACTTGCAACTAAGGCAGATGCAGGTTAACATGGAAAAGTTTTATTTTTTTTAGAAAACCCTGGTCAAATGCAAACTCAGATCAGCATAGTATCTATGTTTTTCATTTATATTAACTTTCATCCCTAACATCCCTGTCCTATGGCAGTCACTGCGAGAATTTGAACATGCAAAGGAAAGCAATATATAAGAACTATGTGACATAGTGACTATTCTGGCTAGATATTTATTGGCACATTTTTTGTGGTAAAACTGCCGGATGCCATAGTGCTGTTAACTGAGTTTCCCTTTATGACAAGAGAAAGAAAGAGTCAAAGGAAAATCTAAGACAGTTTTACACCAATACTCCATACATAATATATTATTAAAGGGATTTCACAACTGGTAGGTATTACACAACTAAAGAAACTATATTTGATATATTTAACTAAAAAAGTTTTTTAACTAATAATTTGTCTTTGAAAAACAGCTAAGAGTGAATGAAGAAGGTTAAGAGATTTGGGCTGCTCCCCATGGTGCAACCCCTGAATGCTGTACAACACTAAAAATAACTTGAAAGTTAAATACATCAAAAACACATGTATGCCCATAATACAGAGCTGTCATTACTGAAAAAGGTGAAAATGACTATCTCCCTAAATTTCATTTTGGGCCAGAAAAATAATGGCATCATACATTATTTTTAAATACATTGGGGTAACATTGGTTAATAACATTATGCAAGTTTCAGGTGTATAATTCTATAATACAATGTCTGTAGACTGCATTGTGTGCTCACCAACCAGAGTCTATTCTACTTTCATTACCATATATTTGAGTCCCTTTATCTAATTCTTTCCCCCATCCCCTTCCCCTCTGGTAAACTGCATAATGTTGTCTGTGTCTGAGTTTGACTGTTGCTTTGTTTTATATTTCACATGTGAATGAAATCATATGGTTCTTTGTTCTTTTCCACCTGGCTTATTTCACTTAGTTTGATACTCTCAAGTTCCATTCATGTTGTTGCAAAGAGCAATATTTCATCCCTCTTTATGGCTGAGTAGTATTCCATTGTATGTAGGTATCATACATGTTTGAAACTTAAAAATTTAATAGATACTACTTCTGGTAGTATGGCTCGGTAGATATCTTGAAGAGCACTCCTAACTAAATAATACTGGATCCTGGATAAATTACAACTAACAATTTTTATTCATTACTGGATATGGGAAAAAGCAAGGAGAATCTCCAAGGACCATAAGTAAATAAAACCCAAACACCTAAAATGAGGGGATACAGGAGCAGTAAACAGTAGGAAAACCCATGAAAGGTAAAGTGGCTTGGGGGCAAATGCGTCAACCATTTCTAAGATTAAGCAAGGAGCTGAACATCAGCCTAGTATATTTAATCCTTGAAAAACAGAGATCTTGCCCGGCTGGTGTGGATCAGTGGTTGAGCATCGACCTATGCACCAAGAGGTCACTGGTTCAATTCCTGGTCAGGGCACATGCCCAGGTTGTGGGCCCAATCCCTAGTGGGGGCATGCAGGAGGCGGTCAATCGGTGTTTTGATCTCTCTCCCTTTCTCTCTCTCTAAAATCAATAAAGAAAAAAAAATTTAAAAAAAACAACAAAACAGAGATCTTAACAGATATTCATACATTCACGTGCACAGCAGCATTATTTACAACAACCAAAAGGTGGAAGCAACCAAAGTGTCCATCAATGGATGAATGGGTACATAAAATGTTCATATATAGAGAATGGAATATTTATTCAACCTTAAAAATGAAGGAAATTCAGACACATGCTAAAACATAGATGATTCTTGAAGATACTATGCTAACTAAAATAAGCCAGTCACAAAAAGACAAATACTCTGTGATTCTATTCATATTGGGTCACCCAAAGTAGACAAATTCAGAGTCAGAAAGTAGAATGGTGGTTGCCATGAGCTGGAAGGAGGGGGGAATTAGGAGTTATTGTTTAATAGGTGATACAATAAGAAATGCACATTTGGTCTTTATCTCTGGTTCCTGAAAAACAGTTCCTAAAACCTGTGGAATCTCCTGAATGATAAGAATGTCTTGTTTATCCTGAGATGACTGTTGGTCCTTAGATAGCTTCAGGATGGTGAATGGTTGCCAGAAAGACCAAGGCATGATTAGAGGGTTAGAACTTTTTTTTTATCCTCACCGGAGGACATTTTTTCCATTTTTGTTCAGATAGAGTGGGAGGGGGAAAGAGAGAAAGAAAGAAACATTGACGTCAAAGAAACACAACAAGTGGCTGCCTCCCGCATGACCCAAACCAGGACTGGGGATGAACTGAAACAAAGGCACAGGCCATTGACCAGAATCAAACCCGAGACTCACTGGTCCACGGGCTGATGCTCTAATTGCTGAGCCAAACTGGCCAGGGCAAGGGTTAGAACTTTAAACCCCACTCCTCACCTCCAGGTAGGAGAGAGGGGCTGGAGATTAAATTAGTTACTAATAGCCTATGATTTAATCATCCATGCCAACAAAGTGAAACATCAATAACAAACCAATGGGGTTCAGAGAGCTTCCATATGAACACATGGAGGTGCTGGAAGGGCGGTGTGCGTGGTGAGGGCGTGAAAACTCTGTGCCCCTTCCCCCATGCATCTCTCTTCTGTGTGGCTGTTCCCAAATTGTATCCTTAATGATAAACTGAAAATAGTAAGTACTTTCCTGAATTCAGTAAGCCATTCTAGCAAAATTATTGAATCAGAGGAGGGGTTCTTGGGAACCCCAGGTGTACTGTCTGGAAAGTTGGAGAATTGGTTGGTGTGGGGGGAAAACCCCCCCACAAATTTGGTGCCAGAGTGCTGAGTAGAAACAATGTAGAAATGGATATAAAGTCTCAGTTTATAATGAAGAGTTCTGGGGATTGAATGTACAACAATATAAATGTACTTATTGCCCTGGCCAGTTTGGCTCAGCGGTTAGAGCGTCGGCCTGCGGTCCGGAGAGACCCTGGTTCGGTTCCCGCTAAGGGCATGTACTTCGGTTGCAGTTTGTCCCCGGCCCTGGTTGGTCGTGCGGGTGGCAGCCACTCGATGTGTCCCTTCACGTCGATGTTTCTCTCTCTCTCTCTCCCTAACTCTCTCTCCCTCCCACTCTATCTGTACAAAAAATGGAAAAATATCCTCGGGTGAGGATAAAAAAATAAAAAATAAAAAAAAAAAAATAAATGTACTTATTAATACCATTGAATTTCATACTTAAAAATGTTTAAGATGGTATATTTTATATTATGTGTATTTTGAAAAGAAAATTCTGACACATACTACAACATGACTGAATGCTAAATGAAATAAACCAATCACAAAAGGACAGTATATGAGGTACTGAGACAATCACATTCATAGAGATAGAAAGATGAATGATGGCTGCCAGGGGCTGGGGGAGGGAGAAATAATGACATTATTTAACAAGTACAGAGTTTTGGATTGAGAAAATAAAGTTCTGGAGATGGATGGTTATGAATATTCACAATGTTGTGAATATATTTAATGCCATTTAACTATCCTTAAAAATAGTCAAAATGGTCTGAGGTCTAACTTGGGATTTGGGAATCCCAGAAAGACGAAGTTCAGAAAAGGAAGGATAAGCAATAATTGAAAATGTCTGGGAACTTTCCAAGAACTTAAGAAGGATATAACTTCATATATTAAAGGAATGTAATGAATCAGGTAGGATTTTTTAAAAAGCACATTGCATCTGGTCAGTGTGGCTCAGTGGTCGACCCACGCAGTAAAAAGCACATTACTCATAGACAGATCTGGTGGGAGGGGGACACGGGTGTGTGGAGGGATTGAACAAAAAAGAGAGAAATAACTCATGGACACAGACAACAGTGTGGTAATTGCAGCAGGGAGGGGGGAATAAAAGGTGATGGAAGAATAAAAATACAATAAATAAATAAAATAAAATTAAATTAAATTAAAAAATTAATGAAACCATAAAATACCAAAAATAAAGAACTGTCAGATGCCCT